CACACACACACACACACACACACACACACACACACACACACACACACGAAGAAACAAGTCTACCTGTCTTCTCTAGCTGCAGCAGGAAGTGAATTAAGAGCATGACAGAAATCCGAAAGAAAAAGACATTTGCTTCTTTAAAAAATACTTCGCCAAGAAACAGTCGAGCATTTGTGAAGAACTTCAAGCAGATCTTTTCAGTATACCATGTGACTGTAAGGTAACATTCTTAACCGACTTTATTCAACCCAGAACAGTTTTATTGTTGAGGAGGATTTCTGTCCACATTATACAACTTTGCTTCCTTCCTGGAAGGGAGAACAAAATGCTGCTAGTGTCTATGCAGGGACTGACTGATTCTTAGACATCATTTTAGTAAACCTGTCTGTCTGTTTGCCACTTCCACCCAAAAAGTGATGCTTAAACACACTGTAGAACAAGAATTAGTGACACATTTGGCTCCTTGGTACTTTGGATATTTGAAGGTTTTATGGGTAGCGACACGGAGGAAACTGGTATGGTTTTCAAGTATGCATGGTGTCGTTCTCATCTTCTGGGATAGTTGGAACTGTAAGAAACACGAGTGTGGCTGTCCAGGGCCACTACAGTACCAAAAGCCCAAAGGAACTGACCACAAACAAGCAACTGCTTAACAGCCTTCTGACACTGGTATCATCAGTAAATTTAGCACTTTCTTCCATTTGCCTGTCTGAATAACTTTATCAAGTGACTGTATATAATGATGCTGCTGATGAAATTTCCTTTTAGTTGTAGGATGATCTTGCTAAACAAACTTCTGACTAGAAATGAGATTACAACAATGTAATGTGAAATCTAGTGGAAAGCCAAACCTCAGTATTCATATTTCAAGATACTTTTGACAAGCTGCATAACAGAGACATGCCCCTTCTGTGGCGTGCCAGCTGTATGCAGACAGCAGCGTCAGGCAGACACTGGTCTTTGTCTCAGACTACGGCTGCCTTCCGTGTCAGACTTATTTCACTCTTAATGTTGAGCCCAACATTCACTTCACCTATTAGAATTTGGGAATAATAACCTTATTTGTGTGAACGAAGAGCCTTAGCTCCCAGCAGCTTTCTAGTACAAGGTTTTGAGGAAGACACATGTTACTACAAACTGTCCCTTACCTTTACTGTTTTTATACAGTATTTGTATACAGATTCACTGTAAAACTCAGAAAGGAAAAAAATAATGGAAGAAAAGTTAGCTGCTTTAGTATTTTTAAGAACAGTTTTGACAGTTTCTTGTGCTCATCTGAAACAGAGCAGGAACACCATAGACATTTAAGGACCACAACAATCATACTTTCAGTTCCAAAGTGTCCTCTTTCAAACATGAACACTATAAAGGTGAGGCTGATGGCACCCTTATTTAAAAGACATTCTTGTACTATTATTAAAACGTGTTAACATGGACTGAAAAAAAAAAAAGATCTTAGGGAATTAATTTTTTTCAATGGCATTTTATTATTACCTTTAAGTTATTCTGAAGGTTGATAGTAAACTTAATGCTAACAATATAAATATTCTCTTTGTAAGTGTTGAGATTCTCTTAAAAGCATGGGAAGACAACAGGCATTCCAGAGCAGACTTCAGAGGAATAAACCCTCCAAATAGCTATGGAGAGCTGGTTTAATTTTATTTCATCTTCCTTACTCAGGTCTCCTGGTTTGCCTGCTTTATTGTTTAAAACAATCAGACATCTAACTTCAAGCCTTTTTAGCTGGGCCAATTATTTATGTTTCTATTTTTTTTCAATTTTCTTCAAATATATCATAAAATAGTTCAATAATTTTTGCAAGAAGGATCATTTAAGCTAGATCATGTTCTGTTTTTTAAAATTTCATCTGCTACTAATATTAAAAGTCAGAAAAACTTCTGTCTCCACCCAGAACTGAAAATTCTTAGGGTGTAAAAAAAAGAGCATGATATTTAGCATCTCATGAATGATGTTCAGCCTAATGAAAATCACTAACCTCGCTTTCACCAATCACAGCTGCCACCACTTACCTTTACTATTAACAGATGAAACTATGTTTAGTATTGATCCAGGATGTGTTGGCACAAAACCCTGTCTTTGAACTCAGTCTAAACGTTCTGTCCTTCTATAATGTACCACCAGTTATTTATAATACCCTGTCTTTATGTTGGTGCATACCATCTTTTGGGGAAAAAAAAGTAACAGATTTTTGAGATGAACTCTAAGAAGAAAATCCTTGAGGTTCCACCTTTCACTACAGAGAAGAGGACGATGCTTGCACACAGCAGCCGGAGGGATAGCCCCACCTGTCAGCTAGCTCACACCAGGAGCATGCAGATACAGCCAAGTTCATTGCATGTGCTCTGAAGCTGAGAACGCTCCCCTTTCCAAGTCACAGGTGCTATCATCTTATGCAACAAGACAGTGGAGTGTATATCCACCATAAGAAGAAAAATAAGTGACATAACAAATGCAGCAAATACAGGCATTTGGCATTCAGAACACGCCAAAAAGCTAACACTCATAAATTGTCATATCGTTTGTCTTTTTAAAAAAAGGTCTTTGCATATTTTAAAATTTAACGGTCCCAGAGAATCATGAAGTGCCTTGTCGTTTCTGTTGTTGGCTTCTGATGACCTCTAGTTGTTTTTTACATTGCTGGTAGTAAGTAGAAAGGCTTTTGTTTTCATCTAAAAGCTTTTTATGCTCCTGTACCAGACGAGATGTATTTTGCTGGTCCTTTTCATCCTGGTCCAATTCTGCAACTAGTTCTTGCCTAAAAACAAACGACACAATAAACATTATACAGGATGGGAAGCTCCACACCTTTAGCTGATGAAGGAAACTCAGTTAATGAGAACCTTTCCCCTATCAGTCTGTAGCTTAAGTAGAGTACTCCAATATGATCCTAGGCCAGAACAGAAACTACCACCCACTCTTCTACTGTAACTACACAGAACTATAGTCCTTTCAATACATTGTTCAGCAGTCAGTGAAGCAGAGTAATGCTGCAGTTTCAGAAAATGTTATATGACACCCTCCTTTCTTTGCAGGAAGAAAGAAGTGCTAGCTAGCTCCAGGATGGTAACGTGTGCCACAGCTCATGTGGTGCTCTTATTACAGCTACACGCTCCAATCTATACTGTGAAGTCCCAGTCCTGCGTAACTACAGCTCTACTGGCAGGGACACAATACCTGCAAGCCAATCAATCAAGGGACGCTATCCCACTTAAATGTTCTTTTCTATTTTGCAAAGAGCAGTATCTGGAAACATTTTCAGGAGACCCTCATTCATAAGGGCAGGTGAGCTTCAAGTCCCTTTCCTCTGAGGATATTAAGTATTTGCCTCTAAAAAAGTCAGACCACTGGGTATTGATGAATAATAAGGTCTTCTTATTATAAAAAACAACTTCATCATAGTTATTATTTAAAGAAAGTATTCAGGCTGGTGAGATGATCAGGGGATAAAAAGGCACTTGTGACCAAGACTGATGATGAGTTCAATTTCAAGAACTCACAAAGTAGAGGAGAGAGCAGACTCCCACCAGCAGCTGTCCTCTGACTGGCACATACATGCATCCCATATGCACATCCATTTCCCATATAATAAATAAACTAAGTAAAAGATTTAAATGCAAGGACTTTGATCAGACCTCAGAGTTTTCATACTCACCTATATTCAACATTTATATTTTGCTAGCAGAGAACTCTTCTTTCACAAGTATGAAAAGGAAGGTTAAGTAAGGAAGTAAATGCAGGCCTTCTCCCCAAACACAAAGTGCCAGAAGTTCCACAGCTACTTCTACAGCTTCCAGACCATAATATCAACTTCCTATTTATATCTTCAGGGTAACAATCATTTAAATTATTATGCTCCTCTCCCTTTAAACATTACTCTTTTATTATCACATTTATATTATTTATTTATTCTGTATGTATAAATGTCTGTTGACACACGTGCATGCCATGGTGTGTGGTTAGAGGACAAACTGGGAAGCTGGTTCTCTCTTCCCACTAAGTGGGTTCTGTTGCCAGGCTTGGTTGCAAGTGCCTCTACCCACTGGTCACCTCACTGTCCTCTTCTCCCTTCTGAAGCACACGCAGAGATTATTTCTTATAAGCTACTCTGAAAAATAAGCCAGTTTTTTTTTTTTTTAATAATTTCCTTCAACATTTTAGTTATCATTCTTCACAAGTCTAAATTTCACAAGGGCCATGGTTAAGAAAGTGAATATCAACCTCCTAAACAAATCAAACCACCTATCTGAAAACAAGACAGGAGTTTTTAAAAACGGAAGGCAGGCAGCTTCCATGGCTCTCAGAAAAATCACAGGTGGCTATAAAATTACCCCAAACTACTCACAGACATTTGTATATCAGCCCCGTCACAAGTAACTCTGCTCTATTCAACATACACCTGACAGGACTGTGCAGACAAATGCCTCAAAGACCAAACTCAACTAAATGCTAGGAGAACACATTACTTTACCTTTGGTCAAGAACCGATAAGCCTTTATAGCGGTAACTCTAAACAACTTTCTACTTTGACAGCATAAACTTGAGTATGCAACTAGTTTATTTTCCTTAGTACTATGTCGTCAAAAGGGCACGTTCTACATGAAACCAGTTAAAGGATGCTTTAAGTTTAAATATAAATCTACATGGAAATGCCTTTTTAAGAATTTGCATTTACTCATTAACTTCATTATTTTTTGAGCAGGGTCTCACTGTACAGCTCAGGATGGCCTTGAACTCACAGAGATTTGTCTGCCTCCACTTCATGACTGCTGGAATTAAAGGCACGTGTAACACAGCTGCCTGAAGACTTATGTTTAATTATGTGTGTGTGTGTGACTGTGGGTATGTGCACAATGAGTGCAGTACCCTCAGGGACCAGAAGAAGGCGCTGGATACACTGGAGCAGTAGTAATAGCTTGTTGTGAGCCGGCCAGTATAAATGTGGACGCCAACTCGGGCCCTCGGCAAGAGCAACATGTGTGCTCTTAATTTGCCAAGCACCTCTTCAGCCCCTAAAAATATATTTAATGACTAACTGTGGACTTAAGAAAAGTATTTGTTGAAGTCTTTTAAAATAATGTTGCTACCTCAATATATTTAAAATTCAAAATATCAGCATGTTTTTAAAAACTTTTATTTATTTAAAAAAAAAAGGAACTTACTTTCTCTGAAGCAACAACGCGATTTCGGTTTGAACTTTCATATATTCCTGTGCCATCTTACAGTGTTGTTCAAACACTGCCATGGATTCTTTGGAGTTTGGGCACGGTGCTAGAGGCTGGAAGGACGGCAGAAATGGTAAACGTTAACCCTCAGTGCCTATCTAAGGCAGATGACAGCCAAGGCAGATGACAGCTAAGGCAGATGACACCTAAGGCAGAGACTGTGACTGACATTTTTTATAGCACTGAAGTGTTGCAAGCAAAAGTTAACGGTGCTGAGGAGCCACCAGGTTCCAGTGGACAGTGCCAAACCCTTGGCCATACAGGTGAGCCTGGTTAGACTCAGTGAACAAAATGGAGCAAAACATATGGATGCCAGAAAGGGACCTGCAGGTGAAGGGGGTGACAAGATGAAGAGGCAGAGGTGAGTGGGTCAGGGTCACTGGAATGCACTTCATCTATTCACCAACTCCCCAAACAGTGACTGGAAGTTGTTTTCAAGTGCTATGCTGTGTGCTAGTGAGCTCGCTGCTCCTTCGTCAGCCAGTCAGAATGGCTGTGACTAGAGCAGGTGACCTCTGCAATGGCATTTCCTGCTGCAGTTGAAACATACAAGAACCTTCTTTCAAGGGCCAGGGCTGTGCTGCCCAGGTAATTTTCTGTCCTATGTCTGCCTTTCATGTAATTGAGATTAAAGGCACATGACTGGCTTCCAAGATGCTTATAATTCTTATACTCATAAAGAAGCACTGAAATGTGTTACTTAGGCTCTTAGTCATTATGAACCTAAGGATGCATCACAAATGTTTTAAATAAAAATGACTTTTATATCTAAATACGCTAAAAAGTTAAGGAGTGAAAATGTTATACTTGGCAGACTTACAACAGAGTTATGGAACTACTTTAAGATGACTATTAGATAAAAACATAAAATTATGTCAATCCTAAACCTAATTAAAAAAAAAAAAAGGAAGAGAACAAAAAGACCAACTGATTTTGAGATAGGCCCTCTTGTGGTTCATGGTGACCTCAAACTCATTTTATAGTTGAAGCCTTTGAACCCTTGACCCTCTTGCTTCTGCTTCCCAAGTTCTGGGCCTAGAGATGTGAGAACCATGCCTAGCAAAGCCATTTATTTTACTTCAATTTTAAAGCTGAAGGGAGGCAACTAAAAGCATCAGTACATGGACAGGACATCCCGAGAAGGCCATCAACTCCCTCAGGAGGCAAAGCAAACGAGAGTGCTCCTTTACCTGCAGCTGGTGATCCAGTGTAAGATACGCCATTGGGATGGAGTTATCCGAACCATTGGTATCTGGAGACCAAGCATGTGTTGTATTTATTAACTCACGACTGTAACGTTTCATTTGTTATAATGACACACAAACAGGAAAAAGATGAGATATCACTCCCTATTATTAAATAATTTAGTTATTGGTAAGGAACAGGCTCTGGCTCTTAAATTCTAGAGGAAGAAAGGGGTACACGTGATCACAGATGTTAGAATATAAGCATATTCTACAACTTAGTTGCTATAAACTAAATAGGATACTATATATTAAAGATCATGGACCCTTAGCCAGGCGTAGTGGTGCATGCCTGTAATATCAGCACTGAAGGAAACAGTGGCAGGCGGATCTCTGTGTTCGAGGCCAGCCTGGTCTACATAGTGAGTTCCAGGACAACCAAAGCTACACAAAGGAACCTTGTCTTGGGGGAAAAAAAACAAAAACAAAACATGGAGCCTTAATTAATTAAAGTCAGTCCTAACTGATCCTATGTAATTCAAGCCCCCATTCCTTTCCTTGTGTTCTCTTTACCAGGAGGCTGGATTGACTCTGTCAGCATCAGCATACACAAGAAAGAGAAAAGCTAGTGCTCTGGACTCTCCAGAGGTTCTTTTCAGTTGATACAGGTGCTGACATGAACACCCCAGCCTGCCTCCAAGGAGACAATAATGGTGAGAATTTATGATGCATACATACAATAGAGAGACAAAAAAGGCATTTAGAACCCTGGCTTAACACCATGTTCCATTGGTGAGTTCAAGCCAGCAGACAGTCTTATCAAAGCATAGGTCTTATTTGTTTCAAAGGAAGTAAAATTGCCCTGCCACATCAAAGACTGACATGGATTAAAGCATGGTCAGCTTGATGACAGTGAAGGTACTGCATGGGGCCCAGAGAAAGGCTGAGGAACTGTCACAACCCCCGCAAACACCACTTTCCACAGACTCAAATAGGATGAGGATGACCGGCCCCTGACTAAGAAGAATGACCTGCCCTGAAAAAGTTTCCTCAATTAAACACTCCCCCCGCCCTCAGTGCTACCTCTACACCACACCGTCCGGGCATGTGTGGTGTATCATGAAGTCTCTGATAGGTCCTTCAGAATCAAGTAGAATTTGTTGATATTTGAGGAGCACTGTGCTGGCTCAAACAATTAAAGCCTTTCCAAGAGGGAAATTAGAGACATTTCTTGGATATTTTGTTTGTTCTCTAAAGCCAAGAAGTGGCATTTCACTTTCCTATTTGTACCTAAGTTGCAATACTGCTTGTAATACCCAGTCACAAGATAGCATGGCTACTCCATGAAAATATTTTTATACTTACTAATGAAACACGACCTCTTCTCATGAAATATTAAAACTCACACTGTTTTGGTTAAGTAGGGCAAAATTTCTTTTCTGTTTTTTCAAACATAGCAGATGCTAGTATCACCCTTCCCTTACGGGTACATTCCCTTAATAGTGGTTTGAATGAGCATGGACCCCATAGGCTCATATATTTGAATATTTGGTACCCAGTTGGAACTGTCTGGGAAGAATTAGGAGGTGTGGTCTTGTTGAAGGAAGTGTGTCACTGGGGGTGGACTTTGAGGTTTCGAAAGACTTGTGCCAGACTCATGCCATTTCCAGCATCTCTCTCTCTCTCTCTCTCTCTCTCTCTCTCTCTCTCTCTCTCTGCCTCCTCTTTGTGGCTCAAGATATGAGCTCTCAGCTGCTACTCTTGCACTATGGCTGGCTGGCTGCCTGATGTCATGGTCTCTGCCATGATGGTGATGGACTCTAAGCCTCTGAAACTGTATGCCCCCAATAAGATGCCTTGGTCAAGCAAGTATTTCCCATTCCTTATCACAGCAATAGGAAATTCATACTCCTTGTGGATACTTTCTCTCTGGCATGTGTTTGAAGAGTATGAAAAGTTACGGACATAACCAGGCCTAGTTCACTGACTCGTGTTTGGCTCGGACTACAAAGTTAGCAGCTTACTACACCATACGGCAATTTCACTGCTAAATGTATTCTAACTCTAACCACAGTTACAGTGACCGGGTTGTATCTTATGTTTATCTTTGCAGAGCTCTACGCGCAGAACAAAGTGAGTCTGTGTCTCTGTAAGTTCTTCTAAGCTGTGTGTAGATATTGCTGTCTCTAGGCCCTGGGTGAGTATCTCTCTTTACACCCGTAACAGTATAAACTGAAACAGAAGGACATTTGTCTGTTAAGATTATTAAATTGTTACCTTCTTTAGTCTTTCTCTGGAAGCATAAAGACAATTTAAAAGTTAAAAGTCTTAATATTTATGCTGTTTTATCTTACATTTATACTTATGATTATTTCTTGGGTCTGGAAAAAGGAAAAGACTTTACTCATCTGTTCTTCATAACCTGTTCTATCTAGTGATACATCTACAATTATTTCAAGCAAAGACAAAATTCAGTGGGCACTGCAGCCTGGACCCAGGTAAAACATGTAGTGACTGGCAGGCTACAGTTTCTTATGTACTCCCAGCATTAGGATTTCCAGAAGGAAGTGCAATACGGGTTGAGGAGAAGGAGGAACCTGTGTTTACTTGTGTAGAAACAGCAGGCAGACATTTAAAGAGGTCTGATTTCCTCCTCTGAACAATGTGCCACATTGTCAATTCAGATTCAGAGGTCTAGGATGACCTTAGAAAACCCTGCCAGGGCAATGTTAGGAGAATATCCCCTTAGTTTAGGAATAGCAACAAAAGCCAGTATCAGCCCAATGGCAGAGCAAGTCCTCTGTACCACTGGAGAAGCACACCTATGGTAAATGCCACATATGTGCTGAGCAACACTGGAGAAGAATCTTGGAAGTTTTGGCTACGATTAATTTTTAACCTACTCAAAGGAGAGATTTTATCACTTGCTAAATGAAGTTCTAAATTATATGACATAGGGAAAAGCTGTCCATTTAATTTTTAAAATTAAACTATAAACTTGACTAAACCTCAGCAGGTATCTATAAGTATTGGATCACATTTTAGTTTGTGAAGACAGAAACTAAATTCTAATTTTCAGTTTAAATTCTAAATTTCAGTTTAATTGCTACTATTAATAACAACGGATTTTACAGAAGATTTCCAATGACTTCATCTCCCAAGGCTTAGCTGGACACAGTGCTAAGTGTCTGTTAGGGCATCACTTCCCTTCCTTCCTGCCCGTGATGAAACTCTGTCAGTCCCTTCAGACAGGTTCTCCTAACACAACCTGTGACAAGTTGACATGTTCAAGCTGGGCTTTCAAATATCTACGCATGTGAAACCAAGTCTTTCACCAAGTACAAAAGGTTGCCAAATAAGATTTTTTTCCTCTCACTTAGGTACATGTTTGGTGTTTTTAAAAACCGTAGATTGACATTTAGGAAATAACCCAACTGACAAAAGGATCTTAGGAAATTTCAAAGCTTTTTCACAGCAAAAGAAAGAGTTAAGCTAGGTGTAGTGGCCTTTAATCCCATCACTTGTGAGGCAGAGACAGGCAGATATCTGTGAATTCGAAGCCAGCAGAGTTTACGTAGTAAGTTTTAAGGACAGCCAGTAACATACTGTGACATCCTGCCCCTCACAGTAAACCAACCAACCAACCAACCAACCAACCAACCAACCAACCAACCAACCAACGACAAACCAGTTAGGTAGATACAGTCTATAGAGTGGGAGAAAAATCTTTGAAGGCTGTATATCTGACAGAAGATTAATATTTAGAATATACAAAAGAAATCTCCAGGAAGCCAGTCAATCAATCAATCAATCAATCAATCAATCAATCAATCAATCAATCAATCAAATCAGCACCAGGCTAATGAGTATACAGTCCTCAAAAGATGTAATATAAATGCTATTCAACACATGAGAGAATGACCTGGTCAAAACCCAGGGTTGATTAGGTCCTACAGGAAAACCCAATGTTCTCTTGCTGAATTAACACGTTCTAAGCCTGCCTTCTAACTTATGTTTACATAGATTAGTACTGCTCTCAAGCTTGGTCAGAGAAGCTTCTTTTTCAAGTAGTGGTGATTAATGCAGAGACTACTTTTTTATTTGTTTTGTTTTGTTTTCTCGCACAGTTTTTAATTGTATTATCTCTGTTTTTTTTTATCAGTTACATTTTATTAACTCTGTATCCCAGCCGTGTCCCGATCCTTCATTCCCTCCCAGTCCCTCCCTCATCTCCACCGTGCCCCTTGCCAAGTCCACTAATAGGGGGGACCTCCTCCCCATTCATCTGATCCTGTTTTATCAGGTATCTTCAGGACTGGCTGCAAAGCTCTCCTCTGTGGCCTAACAGGACTGCTCCTCCCTTGTGGGGGTGGGGAGGCCAAAGAGCCAGTCATTGAGTTCCTGTTAGAAATAGTCCTTGTTCCCCTCACTATGGGAAACCAATTGGTTACTGAGCTACCACTGGCTACATCTGAGCAGAGGTTCTAGGTTACATTCATACATGGTCCTTGGTTGCATGTCAGTCTCAGAAAAGACCCTGTGCCCAGATATATTTGGTCCTTGTGGAGCTCCTATCCTTTCCTCATCAGACTAACTCCCCTTCTTTCTTATGATTCCCTGTACTCTGCCAAAGGTTTGGTCATGAGTCTTTGCTTTGAAAACACTGCTGGTTAGAGCCTTTCAAATGCGCTCAGTAGACTCCTGTCATATGTTCAATGCACATCCCATCTGTCTTTCTAAACGAGGATTGATCATCTTACCCCATGTCTGCTCTCTTGATTATCTTTTTTAGGTGTATGGATTCCATTATGTTTATCGTATCTTATAGGTCTATATAAGTGAGTATATACTGTGTTTGTCTTTCTCTTTCTGGGATATTTCACTCAGGATGATCTTTTCTAGATCCCACCATTTGCCAATGCAGAGACTTCTAACTGGTACTCTTAGGAATCAGTGACTGTGAGTGGTCAGTCCTAAGTGGGACAGCTAGATCAACAACCCAGGGCATAGGGGCATCACACAACATGAAGAAAAAAAAATCTAAGGACCAGATGATCTGAAGGAGTGCTGCAAAATGCTGTTGAAGGACAGGACGTGGGCATTCCACTCATGAACCCCGAGCAGCTGTGGCTACCTGCACAAAATCAAGCTAATCAACAAGCCAGCACGGAGGCCCCACCCTTAGTGGAGCAACTGATGGCTGCCATACCTGTTTTTCTTGAAGGTGTGTGGCTGCCCATGCCTGGTGGATGATCCAAACCCACGGCTATTTGGGGAACAGTAACTGGATTCCGTGGGCCATAAAAAAAAAAAAAGACATGAAAGTGGAAGGGGGACATGTTGTGGAGTGGGTCCAAGAGGAGTAGGATAACGGTGCTGGCTTGGTATGTTCAAGACACACTTACAGATGCGTGAAATTACCAAAGAATAAAAAAATATTCCTATGAACAAAACATGAAAAATGCTCAATCTCACTAGCTATTGGAAAAAAAGATGCAAACTGGAATTTCACTGCAATCTCATCTCAGCTGCCAGAAGAACAGCCTTTTATCCAATGCTGGTGGAACTGTAAACTTGTCCAGCCCTCACGAAATCAATACCGAAGTTCCTCAAAACACTAAAAGCAGATTTACCACACAACCCAAATGTACACTCCTGGGTATTTACCTAAAGGAGTTAAGCTCAACACATCCCAGCCACACTTACACATCCGTGTTTATTGCAGCACTATTTACATTGGCTGAGTTACAGAACTCACCGGGGTATTCAAAAACAGGGGATAAAGAAAGTGTGGTATATACACACACAATGGAGTTTTCAATATGTCCTTTGTAGGAAAATGGATGCAACTAGAAACAAATTAAACTAATCTTAGAAAAGTATTTTATGTTTTCTCTCCTTTGTGGTTCCTTAATTTTATATAGACACATGGAATCATGTCTAAGATATGAAAGTAGAAGTGAAATTGTCTAGGGAGAACAAAGAGGGCTAACCTTGGAGGCAGGACAGGTGAAAAAGAAAAGACACGGGGTATGGTCATTATGCATTATATTCTTATGTGAAAATGTCCTTATACAATACAGAATCATGTACAAGGAATATGCACAATGGAAACAAAACACAAAAGCTGAAATGGGGCTGGGAAGGAGTCAGGAGTGGATATGATCTAAATACACTGCATTCATGTTTAATTACTAAATAATATAGACTAAAAAGTAGAAACTGAGCTAAAGGTGACAGTGATTATTGTTACTATTCTGGGTACTAGAATTACTGGACAGACTCAACAGGAAGGACCACGATATAAAAATCCCAGAGTGAAGTACAACACATGATGTATCCTAACTGAAAAATCTGGCTGTTTTCAAGTCACATGTTTAGTATTTCAGAGGGGGGAAAACACACACACACACACACACACACACACACACACACACACACACACACACACACACACACGGTAAGGCAGTCAGTGTCTGCTACAACACTCCAAAGGACATTTTGAAAATTATTGCCAAATAGTTGATTCTATAAACACGAAAATCTAAATAACCATATCATGCTTGTCTTTGTAAAGATTGATGCCTCTCATGTCACTCAGTTTTACATTACAAGAAAGTAGACTGGTCACCTGTGGAATCATCAGGGGTCCATGGGTGACTGCGAGCTGGCTTCTCTGAGGTTGGTCCTGAGGTAGTGATCATTCTGACACTAGGACTGGATGACCTACTGCTCACCTGCAGGAAGAAGTGGCAGGAGGAAAAGCGTCACTTTTCTTTTTTTAAAGAATGACAAGACACATTTGCATTGCCAGTAAGAGAAAGATTTCCATTTTTACTAGTAAAGGCCTGGGACTCTTGAAAAGTGATTTCTAAGAATATAATCAATGTTTATCAAGTTCACTATGCATTCATACATAACATCTCTTTAAAACTTGTAAGCCTGGATGAGAGTAGGTAAAGAAATAAAGCCCACAAAGCAAAAGGGACCTAGGGAGCCCTCAGGCTGCCAGTGCCAGAACTACAACCTAGAGTACTGGACTGTCTGCTGTGGTGAAAGGAACTGGTAATAAAGCCACCAATTCTTTGTGGGATGAGAGGGCCTGCTTAACCCCTGTTTAAAGCCAGGGCCCAGGGAACACTCTGATCTCTGGGGAAAAGAAAACTAGCAAAAATAAAAAATCTTGCAACAAGACCAGGTGGCAAGACACCTGCAATCAGTGCTTGGAGGTAGCAGCATGAGCACCATGAAAACCCTTTTGCAGGGATGCTAAATGAAGGGAAGAAGACGTGTCCATTGTACATCCAGAAGTCATCTCCAGAATCAAGGAAGACAGAACTGAGCACAAATACATGGAGAGTATGAGAAATGAGACAAGCCCATCATCTCAGGTTCCACAGGGTCATATTCGATCAAATTCCAGAAAGTAGACAGACAAAAATTAGAAGCAGCCTCCCGAGGGAAATGGCAGCTACAGGTGAAGTCAACACATCTGAAATTAGAAATGCTTTGAAACCTGAAACTTGCAGTGCTCATAATATGCCACAAGTAGAGACACCGTACCTAAATAATACCTCATGAGACAGGACACAGTCAAAACACAAGTACACTGAAACCGTCATTTGAATTATCTGCAGCCTATGCATACTGTACAGGGAAAACAAATGGATGTCAAGGTCAGACCTGGGCCTCATTACTAAGATGTCCCAGCAGACACATGCAAATATTTTAAAAATCTGAAACAAACAAACAAAAAACCCCTCAAAATTGGAAACAAAACTAGTTTCATGCATTTCAGAAGAACTATTCAACGCACATTCATAAAACATGAGTGACAGCCACAAAGGAAGCCAGAAAGAGTGGATGACTAGCTACAGAATGCTGGCAGAGAATACTTGGCACTGGGAGTAAATGAAGACTGTGATCAGAACAGCATCTGCAGACAATAAACTGAACTTACCATTCAGACTTGTTGATAGGGATTTCTAAGCAGATACCTTACTTAACAAGAAAATTTTCCTTGCCAAAAGGGCCAAGATGCAATTAACTTGAAGAAAATTCTGATAGAAAAGGGCACTAGTCTACACACTGAAAACTGTAAATGAAGGAAACAGTAATGAGTTTACAGAACTATCAAACAATATAGACATATATTCTACAAAATAAAACCAAAATAAGCAAGAGCACTGCGTTTGTGCTGGTCAGGAAGAGTAGATGTATTTAGCAGGCTGGGTATAAATGTTAAAATCTCAAAGTTGTTTACTGAAAGATCTAATTTTTACCCCACAAAGACAAATGTGATGAGAAATGTCCCTATTCAACTTCAAAGATAGTAAAAAGACGAAGTCAAAAATAAGATGGAGCAAATTTACTAGTAAAAGTAACAAATACGAAGTACAACATTAAAGCACAAAATGAAACAAAGCAAACCCTCCAACCATGGGAGTGGAGAGATGGCCTCGTGGTTGAAAGTGCTTCCTGTCTTCCAGAGGACTTACTTACTGAGTTTGGTTCAGAGTGGTGAGGAGGATCACAACTTTAGCCCCAGGGAATCTGATGTCCTCTTCTGGCCTTTCTGGGGATCCACATACATGTAGCATGCATACGTACACAGACACACACACACATAAATGAAAAAAAAAAAAATAAAGCCCCAATCAAACTGACAGGATGTGATTCCTAAGAGACAAATCTAAATTACAAAAGTAGAAAAACAGGTTGGGAAGATGACTCTGGTTAAGTCACTGCTCTGCTAGTTAGGTTCCCAGTACCTATACAGGCGGCTCCCAAGTGCCTGTAACTCCAGCTCCAGGAGGGTCAACACTCCTTGCCTCCTCAGGCTCCTGCACTTTCATGCACATCCACATTTTCCATTAAAACAATTAATAAAAACAAAAATGTGAAAAATTAGAAAAAAACAAAACAAACAACAACAAAGTTAAATAGAAAAGATAAAGCAGGTAAAAAGCACTCAAAGTGAGTGTTTATATTATTATTAGACAATATATTTTAGGGCCAAACAGATTAAGAAGAAGCATTAATGTAAGGTGTTCTAAGGCAGGAAAAACCTTGGGGATGAAAGAAGGGAGAGAAGCCCCTCACCCTGAAATTCAGCCAAAGGGAAGCCTCTCACCAGCAGAGAAGCAGGCATTCAAGTATAGTCAGCAAAATAAGGTCCTTCTTCCTTCCCTGCCATAAAGGTTTCCTAGGAATTTCACTTGAAAACCCTCCTTACAGTAAAAGATACCTACCATTCTACTTTACAACCAGTGACTTGGGGTTCATGTTATAAGATTGTAATTTCATCTAAGCAACCTCAACATCTACCCTATGATCTTACTGATCCAAACAAAAAAGGATTCTTAGCAACAGTGAGACCTAACTAAATGGTGTACAGGCTAATGCTAAGACAAGGGTTACTCTCCCTTGAGGTACCACATCCACACTTGAGGATGTTTTACTCTGCGGCATTCTGAGAAGCATGCAGGCTCTTCCTCTGAGAGGGCCTCATTCTCTTAACCCTATGCTTAGCCGAGATTAAAGATTAAATCTCAACAACTTTATTAATTTGCTAGCCTTACAATTTTTTCCAGCATCAAAACTATAAATCCTAATTGGGCCCATGCTGATGTCCATAAAGTTTAGAGGAAGTAATTCTTCAGGATGCTGAGGCTGTCAGCATAGACCTGTGTCTCTATCCGCTCAGTCTCAGCTTCTGCTCTGCCATTTATTAGTACTACAGCTTTAAGTAAGTTCTAGGACACAACAGTCAAATGCAGGCACCTTAAGGGTCTTGACAAAAGAACAATGCTCCCTAAGTGGTGGCTGTAAGCTAAGTGACCAGTGAAGGCAAGATGAGATCATTAAGTTGGAGCACTATAGGATCTGCTCTTCAAATCTTGCTGGTAGAATTCTGATGAGCCTCAACACTCTCCAACTATTACAGTTTCTCAAGTTATTTCCTCCTGAAGCCATTCCCAGTTTACCCTCTTCTCACATGAACTACAGTTCAGAGATGCAGAGCAACAAGTGACACAAAGCCACATGGCAACTTGGGGCAGCAAAAGAATATAAACTCCAGGGGGGAGCTGCCACAGGAGCCATGGACCATAACTGGCCTTTGACTGGAATCTTATCTCTGTTTTTATGACACGGGATGGAAAGTGGTTTTATAGACAAATACAAAGCTTATGCTTTCATGTCTCATCTGGAGGACAGAACATAATTCCACAAAGTCAAGAACTTTCATGCTCGGTGCTATCAGACACATTTGAGAGTCCTTCATACTTTTCAGAACCTTAGTTACTGAAGTCACAGAAGCACAAAACAGAACCAGTGCTCTTTGTGTTACAAACTTTAGATATAAGTGTCAACATGGATCTGGATAGGTACTTCCTCTATGGCAGTCCCAGGTGGTCGCCAAGAGTTACTGGAATGCTTTTGAATCCAAACACATCCAATTCTAGTCTGCGACTTGCACCATTACCGCCTTTTGTTTGGGAGACAGAATATCACTATAAAGCACCCACCAGCCTTGAACTCACAAGGACATGAGGAGCTCTTATCCAATGAACTACCCACCCCCCATTTCTCCTGACAAAGAAAGAACAGAATGTAAGATTTAACTGCTTCCCCAGTGCTAATTTTACTTCATATCTGGATAGCAAGAATTCTATCATGAAGACAAAGAAATATTATCAACAGCTCCGGCAGGCATATACTCACATGTATGGAGGAAGGCCTGTCACACAGACCAGCATCTACTATGTGTCTGTACTCTCACATTCTGTAGGAACCCCATATAGCAGGTGCTACAGTGTCTAGTTGTATAAAGGCTGCTGAAGCTCAGGACAATGAAGGACCATTCTGGGTTCATATCATGTGTCTTATTATGGCATCACTGCGGAATGGTATATGTATACTGGATGGAATCCCAAAAGGAATGTGAGGGCTACTTTATAGTACTTCATCTTACTGAAAAAGGAAGGTTCACCTAAATGTGTAAAAAGTAAATATGTCTGGTGACCTGTCTATATTGACCATTATGGTATTTATTATGGGTTACCCTTGCTCAATGATATAATATAAAGTTACAGATAATGAAGAACCACAACACTAAGCATTCACTAGGAGCATTTCAGTACAAATTTCATGTTTTTTTTTTTTTTTTTTGGTTATTCTGTTTGTTTTTTGATACAGCATTAGTCTCAAATTCATTATGCAGCAGAATGAAGGCTGACCTTGCTCCCTCTACCTCCCAAGCGCTGGATCATCACATCTAGTTCTGCATGTGCTGAGGAAGAAGCACTCTATCAGCTACGCTACCTCCTCCCTCCTGTAATGTAAGACAGAATGATAAAGTTTACAGTGCCACTGAAGCTGACTTGCATTCAAAATCTCTTAACAGGGTACTGAAAACATGAAAGAAGATAGTGACTTAAATTCAGTTTCTCTAATTCTCAGTTGTCCCATCTGTGAAAAAGGTATCCACTGACTACGGTTAAGACACGGGTAGTGTCTATTAAGGGTCTGCCTGGTACCAGTGCCTAGCAAATGGTGGCTACTATCAGTATTGGCTTTCCGACTGTAAGAAAACTCATCAGGTAAGTACGGTCTGCTTAAACAAGTCCTTGGGGGTGGAGGGTGGGGGATGGAGCTGTATCTCACTTGGTAGTCTTTGCCTAGCACAACGTCCTGGGTTTGTCTCCAATACCACATAGAAAGGATGTGGTGGTAGACACCTAGAAGCTAAGCCCTCAGGAGGTTAAAGGCAGGGGGAATCAGGAGGCCAAAGCCATCCTTTGCTACATGGTTTGAGCACAGCCAGTGATATATTAGACCTTGTCTGGAAGTCTAAGGGCAGAAAAAGCACCACCAAGTCTGGCCATTTTTTCGTACTGTCAGTCTTCAGTCAGAGGCTGCCAGCAACACATTAGAAGAAAGCTGGGGTTACTATTGTTGTGATGATGAAGGTTCTCTATGGGGCACCACTGAACATCTCTGGAAGAGTGCTGAAGTTGGACTTTGGTTGACTGATTTGGAGGAGGACAGAGGTTCACTCTCATTTGCCTGCTGCCAAAAGCAGGGGAAATGCTACCTGAGAGGCAGACAGACAGGAGAGAGCTGCACTTGGCTGAAGCCATCCTCATTTGTAGAGAAGGGCAATGTTTTTATGTTTGGGGTGGCAGTGACCCTCATACATTAAAGTGAATTTGCTTTGTCTTGTTTTCCTAGGCTCTGAGCACTATCATCTTTGATATAGCTAGTAAAGGATTGCTTTTTTCTTTCCCAAAGACACGTGGAGGCCAGATATATTATGAGTGCTTGTTAAGCTTCCCAAATTAACTATAAACCATGTACATTGAAGAAAATCTTTTACATATTCACATAGTTCTACATAATTTAGTTTGCTTTGCTATTACTCTCAACAAAAAAGGAGTACAAGAAAATAAAAAGTAATTTTACTGAGATTATTTTTCAAGTCAAAAGCTAAAGTACACACAACTAGTCAGTTCACTTTTTTCTGTAAGCTTCATCAGCAAAGTCTTCCTTTTCATGACAACTGTATTACATGGGCCCAATTTTTTGTCAGGCTCTTTACCAATTTCAATTTTCAGGGGTAGGGGGAGACACACTCAAAACTAAAACCAGAGGCAATCTCCTCTGTGCATCTGCCAGTCACTCCACCAATTCTGGAAAGAAGCACCCTGTCAAGTTATGGAAACTTCGGCTGTGGGCATACTCCCTCCCACAGAGTGAATGCTAGTCCCTGATCCAACCCAGCGCCACCGCACATTTTCCTGCTGAAATGTTTTCATAGTGCACTGGGATTGTTCTGTTACTTTGACCCTAAAGTGGACAGAAGGCACTTTAAGGTTATAATACTTCTTTTATTAGAAACTGCAAAGAATTTCATAAATTCTTATAAAATAAAAAATAAAACTTTCTATGATGAAACATATTTATGTATATTTTCTTAAAGTAAATTATAGATATTTTACATATACACATGAACTATTATGTAAGAATTTTATTACTTATATGAATAACGTACTCACATGAAAACAACAAAATACCTGATACTTAGTCGCCATTTGTTTTAGAAAACATGATAAAAATGTATGTCAAGTGCATTACTTTGAATTAATTAAAAGAAAGAAAACCCTTAATGACTCATCTACTTTTATATACCCAGTTGATTAGAACTTTACAGTAGAGTCAATATGGTTTACATTACAGCATTATCGGACCATCTACAAAGAAGCTATAATAAAGAGACAGAAAAATTTGGAAGAGCATTGAACAAATAAACAATAAAATCTGTAATAACTAGCAGCTTTCTTGAGTTTAGCTATTTGCTTAGTATATATTTTGAAAGGATAATTAAGGAACATATAATGCCAGTGGGTACATCAAACTAAAAGATGCTAACATTCTCTAGGTAGTCCTAGAAGGAGCATCTTTTTAGGGAGGTATTTATTCCTCTCATTAGTAAAAGTTATTCATACTAATTATTCACTTTAGAGGAACAGTAAAGATACCTTATTAAGTCATAAACAGAATACTTTCTTACAGCATATGGGAAACAGGCACACTGCTGAACAACATTCTTTCTCATGCAGTTCAACCTGAACTTGGAACATTAGCACTTTTTCATTTCTCTTATGGACTGAAGTTCAGTAGTAATAAACTTCTCAGCCACATTTTCAGGTCAACTACTTTTGCAGAGGACATTATGGTTCATCCTTGATCACTGCCTATCATAGCTCCCCACAGACAGAATTTGAATGTTAAGTCTTACCTGACCAGGTTCTGGCCCAGTGACAGTCAAGTCTTGGATGGATCTACGCCTTGGTTGCCCATTGCCTTAAAACAAAACAACAATAAAAAGTAAAACTGGCATCTATTCAAATGAGTGAGAAGGGATGTAACTGCTGCAGAGGAAGTACAATTTGCTGCTCCTGGGATCTACGCAACACGTTTACAAGAAAAATGAGTAAATTCACTGTAAAAACAAACCAATCCAAAAACTGAGAAAAAAAGAGACAGAGAGAGAACTGTAACACATTAACACAAAAACTGCTGGCCAACACAGTGTGTCCTAATACAATGACACTCCTACCGCAAGAACAGCAGCTGAACTGTCTTCCACCATCTTCTGCCATGTGCTTAAATAGATGATTGCTTGGGGGCTGGGGCTGATGACGGCATCTATTTCAAGGGCCTTACGTTACAGTTTCACAGCAAGACAGCTAGCAGGTTGTAAGACAAGTCTGGCTTTAGCTGGCAGCAGTGCCTAAGAGGATGCTTAGGTTTAAATTATTGCCCCGAGTCACATTTAATCCCATTAGTCTTTGTCAGAATGCAGTAATTCATCATTATGAGTAACAGTTCAGTTTCTTCTTGGAGACAAACAACATTCATTCTATGTTCAAATATATATAGCTTGTTGAGATGGGCTATGATGAACACCGTGCTCTAGAAACATTTATATTAGCAACAGTTCTTAATGCAATAAAAAAATAATTCCATACACAAGACTTCAGCAGAACAGAATGACCTGAACCACAGCTTTACTCAGGACCTTTACTTGGGAATAGGTTTGTTTATACAGTATCTTTTAACATGAGAGATCAGTTGTTAAAAAGGAAACACTAAAATACTACCAGACAGCTAGCAGCTGGCACAATACTCACAACTCCTTTGACCCTGAGAGTTGTACCGTGTAATTCTGCAACTAGTAGGCAGCACTCAGAATACACACCCTAGCAGTTGTGCTCTGATGAGTAATAAATCATTTACAGTTTTTCACACTTCATGATCTTGGATATAAAAAAATTCTATCTGAACCAATCAGTACCATTTGGCATCTTAATCCATGTGACCTCGTTATTGTTTTACATATAAACGAAATGGACTTTAAAGAGAATTACGAATGTTTAATAAGATAATACATGTAGTGAATATAAAGATCGAATTTATAGTCATGAGAGTATATCTCATAACTTTTCCCATTAAAAATTTTTTGCATATTCTGAATTCAAATTTACTTCAAATTTTAATTTACTCTGAAATAAATTTCCATTCCCAACTTTCCATTACAAAGTAAAACAATAAACTGCCTTTGTTGAATCAGACACTTTCTTGAATACTTTTAAGTATTTCTGTTTCCCCAAAACAAAAAGGATACTATGACTAATGAGCAATTTTAGGCCCATTTCATTCAACACCCTCATTCTAAAATTAGCACTGATGAGACAGACTATGAAAGTGTCTGTAATTCTCTTTTCAAATCAGCAACATTTGTGAATCTGAGGAGCCACCCAGCATATGTGTCTACAAACCATGACATCGCCATCAATTTTACCAAATACGAGCTTAAGTCTTGTGGGGACTGAAATAAAGGGGAAGAAAAATCTTAAGGAAATAGGGTAAAGAAGAGCCGACAGTTAACAATGCCATAAGATGAGAATTTTCATGCTACAGCATGAGTGGAAGCAAGCAGTATTAGGCAATACATTTTAATGAGCACATCCATGTCAGAAACCACCTGGCAAACAGCTCAGACAAAAGCAAAAGAGGTTGCAATCAACAAATACTTGTTGCTCCAATATTAAGTTTAAAAGCCATAATTTAGGAACACGAATGTGAAATAACTCAAGCTCCTAGTATTGCAAATGAAAATTGCTGCATATGTTCTTAAGAAATTTGAATTCCTAATTGTTTTGCGCTGAATACTAATCTAGAAATGTACTCATTTTAGACTTAAAATGTCTTCCTTGTGTGTGTACTCTTGCTACAGCATGGGATTGGAGGTCAGAGGACAACTTGTGAGGCAGTTCTCTCTCCCTCCACCGTGTCAGTCCTGGGGATCAAACTCCCACTGTCAGGTATGGCAGCAAGTCTACTGCCCTGCTCAACCATCATTCTGGCCCTCATTTTTCACTTTTTAAAGTGATTTCATATATGCACACCTGCATTACATGTGCTCTGGGAAACAAAAAGGCCAGAAAATCCCAGGGCAGCATGATAGAAGCAGTAACCAGCAGTCTGCACATGATGGCCTGAATGATACCACTATAAAAAATCCTGGAATTTCTGCAGGGCTTGATGGCGCATGCTTTTAATCCAAGGACTCGGAAGCCAGAGACAGGTGGATCTCTGTGAGTTCATGCCCAGCCTGGTCTACATAGGTAGTTTCAGGATAGCCAGGGCTCTGTAGAGAGACCTTGTCTCAAACAAACAAACAAACAAACAAACAAACAAACAAACAAAAAGCTGAATGTCTGTGAATTGTAAGAGAAGAATGGCAATTTTAAGATCTCATTGCCAGTTCACGCTATGCAGCCCTGCTGGGCCCTAAGGTAGAAAGGGAGGCAAGAACATCGGAAAGCTGCTACCACAGCTTAGTTCTTCAATGTGGGCTGTTCTTGTGACTCCAGTCAAGTTCCTACACAAGTGTTCAGGTCATTTCAGAACAGGTCTCACACAGTCCCCCTTCACTTCTTGTGGTCTAATTCAGTCCACAGCCTTCACTACTAATCCACTAAAGTGTCAAGGCTCGTGTAGGCTCCTCATTTAAAAGCAGATAATTATCCTAGAGACCTTCTTGCCCAAACTAAGTTCTCAATAATAAAAATGGCTTTCATGCATAAAATAGGATTGAAAACATTATATAACATATACTTCAGTATTAAATTATTGCTAATACACCTTAAATATAACTACTAGACCTAAATATAATAGATTTAAGGTTTGTTTGAACTTCAAGAATGATACTATAAACAGTATGATACTATAAATAGTAAGGGTCTTTAGAGAATTGTGCAAAATATTTTCTATTAGGTTAGTTAAGAATGGCTTAAAATATTATTATGTAAACAAAATACCTAAGATAGAGTATCATTTTTGGTGAAGAGGTTCTATCCTTCTTCACCAAAGGCCATATTATCACAGACTTAGAAACCACAAAGTTATAGTAAAGCAATATTGTTCATGACCTCAAATGGCAATATTTTAAGGTACTATATATCTAGAGTAGATTAGAGGATGTTCAGGTGTCTTGAAATAGAATCCATTATAATTAAAACAAATATTCTATAATATTTTCCATTTCAGTTTTCTCAATATGTTTATATTATGTCTGCAGTATCAGTATTTATAAGGTGACTTTGCAAGTCACATTTTGAGTATTTGTTTCATTTTATAGTACCAATTAAACTGGTATAAACTATGAATAACACTTGTATATTAGTGTGAGAGAAAAATACAGAAAGTTGTTTCAGTCACACAATTTGTTTATAGGTGTGTGTGTCTAACTGTAATTTATCCCAGTGGACTTTGAAAGAAGTTATAATTGTACCTGGTGCCTCTGAGTGCTCCAGTCACTCACAGAATGACTGTAGGGCACAAGTGCTCTTCTCTCTATTGATTTTAGAATTACAAACAAGGAACCATAAAATAGCACAAATAATCCTGAGCAAAAAGAACAATGTTGGAGGGATTACCATCCCAGACCTCATGATACACTGCAGAGCCATTATAATAAAAAATATGGGAAGGAGATACTGAGACTCATAGCCAAGCTTTGGGCAGAGTGCCAGGATCCCCCCCCCCCTTTTTTTTTGAGACAAGGCCTCTCTATGTAGTCCTGGCTGTCCTAGACTCACTTTGTGGACCAGGCTGGCCTTGAACTCCTCTGCCTCTGGAGGGCTAGGGTTAAAGGTGTGCCAACAGCACATTTGTACTCCTAATTTTTTCAAGATTATTTATACCGTACTCTTCCTGCATGAGTGCCTACACACCAGAAAAAGGCACCAGATCTCACTATACATGGTTATGATCCACCATGTGCTTGCTGGGAATTGAACTTAGGACCTTTGGAAGAACAGCCAGTGCTCTTAACCTCTGAGCCATGTCTCCAGCCCCCAGAATCCTTATGGAAGAAGAGGGAGATAGAAAGACCTGAACGGGACAGGAACTCCACAAGGAGAACAACAATCAAAATACCTGAGCCCAGGGGTCCTGTAGAGACTGATACTCCAACCAAGGACCATGCATGGAGAGGAGGCTACTCGGTTTTCAAGTGGGCTCCCTAGTAAGGGGTACAGGAGATGTCTCTGACATGAACTCAGTGACAGACTATCTGATCACCTGCCCCTGCGGGGATGTGTGTGTTTGTGTGTGTGCAGCCTTTCCAGGACACAGAGGAGGAAGATGCAGCCAGTCCTGATGAGACCTGACAGGCTAGGGTCAGATGGAAGGGGAGGAGTTCCTCCCCTATCAGGGAACTAGGGAAGGGACATAGGGGGAGAAGAGGGTCTGTAGATACTAATGTGCCTGGGTGGATGGGAACCAAAAGAACTAGCAGAATCTGAAAGCTTTTCCATCTTTCTGCCAATACATTGTCATGCAGTCCTTAAACAAAGGCAAGATGCCTAGGACCAAGGCACCCAAGATTCAACATCGTATTTCTCTATTTGTCCTGCAACACAAACGCTGACACAGTGCTCTGAAGAAACAGTGCAGTAAGAAAAACCAGGAAGAGGCTGCAGACTATGCTAAAGGTCCACAGAATAAAGGAAGCTAAAGAACAGATTGCCAAGAGACACAGGCTGTCCTTACAGAGAGCTTCTAAGTCTGAGTTCAGTCAAAAGTAAGTCTTTAAGAGTGGCAAATAAATTATCAGGCCTTAAAGAAATAAAGTAAAAACTTGTGGGCAAAAGAAAGCCCAACATTTACCTTATTGTCTTTATTAAGGTAGTGGAAGGAAAAACAATCAGAAAATTTAAAGCAATCTAATAACAATTCAAACAAAAGAATCTATTACAGATAATTGGCAGCTAGACAGTGGTGACATATGCCTTTAATCCCAGTATTCAGGAGGCAGAGACAGGCGAATCTCTGAGTTTGCGGTCAGCCTGCGCTACAGAATGAGTTCTAGGACAGCCAGAGCTACACAGAAACACTTTGTCTTGACCTGCCCCTTCCAAAACAAAACAAAACAAAACATACAAATAAACAAAACCAAACAAAAAAAAAAAAACAAAACTAAACCAAACCAAAAATACAAGTCACTGGCTAAAAAGGAGAAAGAATCATGCTTTCAAAACTCAATTTTCAAGAGAAGGCACTTAAGAAAAGCCCATTTCTTCTTTTAATAGCCCATCCTAACTTACTAGCACATAATATAACAAACAAATATATTAGGCAGCTTTAATGCGAATGTCCTAAGCTTGGGTGACAACCTTCCCATCTGTATTGACCCTGCCTAGGGAGGGCCAGCAGCACCTGGCTCCAAATGTGTAGTAAAATGCCACCTGTACTCCACTCATGAGCAGCTAGCTCTTACAGGTATCCTGTTTCGTATGAGATCAGCCTTAGCTTCAAGTTCCTTTGCAGGCAGGGGACAGTGAAAAGTAGAAAGGAGGGTTAGTATGCCAAAGTTTGCCAACACTTCAGAACCAGGCACAATGAGATGAGGATTGCAACACTCTCACAGTGGGTCCTTTACTACCATATTAAAAGCCAGGTGCCACAGGACCTAAAGGCTGAAAACAATGGCAGCCCTAGTAGCTTTCTTTTTTACATAAATGATGCAAATAATATATAGTGCTTCTGAAAAGCAAAGAGTAAATGGAGAAAGATTAGGATTTCTTTCTTTGCCTGGACCCGTGCCAGACATTTCACTTCTTCATCACGATGAAACCAAGCATGTCAAACCAAAGTAAAAAGGCGATACATTTGGAAGGAGGGATTCAACAAGAGGGAGAGGACAGAGAACGGGGGTGAAAATGAGAAAACAAAACAACTTCCCACATATACATGTATGGAAATGCCAGAGAATGAAAAGAAAAATATGTTCACATCAAGTCTGTGTGTGAGCTTGAATAAGAGCTATCATGGAGAGAAGGAGCTCATGCTGATAAGTACAATGGACTCAATACAGTGCCTTCATCTGGGCCAGGGATTGCAGGGAGTATTTATCTGAAACAGATAAAACTACTATGTACAAGATATTTGGAACTGAGTTCTAGGGCTGATAAATGGGAGTTTAGACATAACAAGAACTATCTAGACAGAAGCATTTGTGAAAAATCCAATTTGTGGGAAAGAAATTGTTAGTTTAAGAAATTTGGGGAAATAAATGCCATCTTTTAAGTAAAGTGCTAACAGAAAATGAGCTATTCCCAAAGGGTAGGCTGTATTACTAAGTTTAAATTTAAAATCTAACTTTTGCTTTTATGCCTATCAGTTTCAGTTCCTTTTATTAAAGGCAGAATTGATGGCTGTCTGGATGTCTGGGAAGATCTACTAAGAGTATCTGGTACAATTCCTTGCTGCTAACACTTTTGTTAGAACAGCGCTGCTGCCCTGGCAATTAACAGCAGAATTAATGTGTGTTCACTTCAAACGGACACGATGTCCTAATCTCCCTAAGTGAAGTGCTCTCCAAAACATAAGCACTAAGGAGGTGTGGAATGTTCTAACTTCTGTCACTTCAACAAGAGAATAAAAAACACAATGTGACCTGAGAGTTAGAAGATCTGGGTGGAGCCTGTCCTCGTGTGGCCCTGGGAAGATTCACTCAGCATTAGATTTTAATTCTTCATCTATAATATGGCTACACTTTCAATCTAGGTACCAGAGTACAATGTAAGTCCATTAAGGTGACTATTCAGCAGGAAAAAAAGAAGCATCTTACCAGGACTTTGTGGCTTCTGATCCCTGGTCACTGTAAAGCACTAGCTCTCCCCCAAACTATTACTATGCTTCTTCTTTCTCCCCCACTATTTTGTCTGCCCTTTAGACTTCTAGATCTAATTTAAGATTAAACTGTTCTTTGTCTATATTTTTCTGATTCTGTAATGCATTCAAGGTTATTATAGCTCTATGTAAATTAGATTCTTCCATTTTTTGCATAGTTAAACCTATCAATGTTGAAATAAAATCATAAGTACTTCATTAATTTCTAAAGGAGCCCCTGATAAATAAAAATTACTACATGAGAAATGAATTACTATTTCAACAGTGGTGACAATATTATAAAATAGGATATCACTTTAATAATTAATAAAACTATCTCTTAAAAGTTTAGAGAGCAAAAATTAGGCCTTCACGTATAGTTTAAATGCAATGTTAAATAAGTACTATCATGTACTAGCAAAAGTACAGAATGCTAAAGAATCCATCCAAATCACACATGTAAAAAATATCTTAGCAAAATTTTGGAGTCAAGAGACAAAGGAAAATCTTTAGTTAGTTTTTTTTTTTTTTAAACACAGCGATAAATGATCATTACAAACTACCTCTGTTTTATTTATCTTGTCCCCTGTGTGTGTACATGTGTGAATGTGCATGTGAAAAGAGAGAAGAGCTTTTGGGAGTCAGTTCTCTATTCCCACCATATGTGCCTTAGGGACTGACCTTAGGTCATCAGGCTGCATGAGACGTGCCTTTACCTGCTAGGTCATCTCACTGGCCCAATCATCACTCAAAGAACTATACTGAACGTTATTATGCCATTTAAGTTTTTATTAAAAATGGTGGTTTTTGTATGTCTATAGAATGACCACTATAAGATATGAAAGCATTTCCCAACTGACAAACTGAAGCGCCCTGTGTGGATCATGTATAAAGCAAAGGTTGTAGACCTTCCTCTTAACCACTAGCAGAAGAGCTGAACAGCTGTCAGAGTAGTTTTGGTTCTGGCAAGGTACCCTGTAAATGACCCTCGCCTGCTTTCATCTCTCTGCCCCCCCCAGTTAGATTAAAACTGTGCAGCAGCTCTCTTCTAGTTGCATGCCCATGGGCTCCCCAGGGACAGGCTGGACCAGGAGCAAAGGAGCCAGGGACACCAAAAGTTTCAAGGACTGTGTCCTCTACTACAATAGACCTAAGGATAGCTCCCACTTGCTCCAACAGAAGACTAGGTGAACGTGAGAAGGTGTTCTCTTGTCTGTGAAGTGTTAGTTTCCTTACACTTGACTCTTATTACTGGAGATGTGAGGTTACGTCTGTACTTGGTTTGAGCATGGCAGGATACAGTTTTCCATCGTGTCCCTAGATGCTGCATGAGAGCTACCTATTTTCCTATCAGATAAAGATTGGAGCAAGAAGCATTTAAAAGTACCAGGATCATTAATCCAGTTCCACAGCTGTTACACCAACACAGGTGGTCTATGATACCTGATATGACGATCTCAGGGACATCCAGAATGTTGCCAAATGAAGCGGTTTTACGGTGGCCCCGTTTAGGCTTGGAATAGGCTGAAAAAACACACATGTACAGTATACATGCAAACAACCACAAACAGTAACACAGGAAATGACTGCAAAACAGAACAGTTCTGAAATAGTAATGTTAATTACATCTCATGCAGAATGGCATGCAGAACTATCTAACTTTTCATCCATGCTTAGGAAGGCACTGTTAAAGAGCAAAAACAAAAACAAACAGTTTAAGAAGTTTTACACACTGGTTTTAGTTAGCAGGAAAAAAAAAACAACAACAACAACAACAAATAAAGACAGACAAAGCTGCAGACAATGAAGAAGCTAAATTTCCAATATGTTTTTAGAAATATTCTACCTAAGTAAAATCAAAGATCTGAGGTGAAGGTAGAGGAGGGAAGGAGTGAAGGAGAGAAGTTAGTAAGGTAAGCTACCATATTTGTGTTTATGACACAAACAGGAATCAATAGATCTGAAGTTAGGTGTTTCTTGGAGTGTGCTATAAATTAAAATTCCATGATTAGACAAAAGTTATCAAATCAAAGCATAAAACATATGCTTCCCTAAGTACTTCTACAATATTACTAATTAACTGAATATTTATTATAGTTTTCAAAGTTTAGAGTATATAACTGTTAAACATGAAGGCTGTCAAAAGCTGAAGTATGAACCTTTCGAAGTAATTCATTCAAAAATTCAAATTATTTAAAATTCAAAGGATATACTGTCCTATATTTAGTTGAAGAGGATAAAGTAATTTATTTATGATTATCTTTGAACTGGAAAAAGTGTCATTCCTATATGTAATCACAAACCTGTATCTGATCAGCAAAACAGGCTTAGCAAAACATAAACTATTATTATGACATCACCTTTCCTTTTAGAGCAGAATCAATATTATCTGTCTACTTTGAATGATACCGGTGAAGTGAAATGGTTCTCCAACAGTATTAGAGATATGGGGGTATGTCTCTGTCTACAGTGACATTTGTGCTTTGTGGAGACCAGAAGGCCAGTTGATGGCCACTGATGTCTACTTAACCTTGACACTTTGAGGATTTATCTGGGACAGAGCCAGCTAGTTTCCTGCTGCTCTCTAGTCTTTCCTTTTCCTTAGCACTAGACTCTGACTTGGCCAACACAGCATGTCAGATATGGCTGCAGATCCCTTCCACTAGAGATATGTGCAGGTCACTGATTATGTTACTCTGGCTAATGACATGTATGTGGAAGTTGCAGAAACTTTTTCAAAAGCTTCCATCCTTCTGCTATCCCTTCTTTCCTGCTACTAAAACCATAAAGGTGATAGCTTGAGCTGTAAGAGCCATTTTAGAACACAGGGTAACCTTGAGGACAGTAAAAACTATAGAGGCTGTGACACACAGACACAGAAAACTAGCTGCCTAATGACCATGGGGCATAGCTAGACTTGCCTGTGTGTGAGCAATAGCTTATATGTTTAGATCTGATTATTTTCAGATATTCCTTCCTATCTATAGGCTTTTAGTGGAGGTTGATAAAATCAGTGATTGTGATTAGTTTAGACAAATGCAGTACAGTTCATCTGGATGCCACTTTCTACAAAGAGAACACACACAATCAGAATACTTTACTTACAAAATAATTAAGTTTAAAAAGTTAAAAAAGTCTGTATATATAATTAAAAGATATGCAGATAGACCAAAATATCCTCTGAAGACAATTTGTAAATTTTTGTTGTTGTTTGTTTACACTTCCATATTTCCAACACAATGTTCATTTTTATAATCCATTCTTCTCTAACCTTGGAAGAATCAGAAATAACATAATAAGACCCAAGCTAAATTGGTACCACTAAAATGAAACTTGGTTAGAAAAGGTGTTGGTTTACCAGGTGACGAAACACCATTCTTTTCTATTCTGGCACTTTTTGTCTATTTGCAACATTTTAAGAGCTGACAAAATGAAATTTAAAATATCAAAACCAATGTTGGTGGAAGTACTACTACCTCATTTTATCACCAAATAAGTAAACAACAGTTAACCCAACTATTCTTGCTACTGGCAGGAGAGAGCAAAGACAACACAGCTCCTTGAACACAATTTTCTGCCAATGATTTTTTGTTTCTTGGGCTTAGCATAAAAACAGCCAATAGTCTGGTATTGGATGAGTCTTGATTTCTTAGAACCAGTTTATGTTTGAGAATAAATAATTATATTTGATAAAGTAACAATGAAGAAGCATTTTATAATTCAAATAAATTTTAAGCCACACTTCTCTTACTTAAAATTTGAGCCAACTATACAAATTTACTGCTGAAGCTTAAAAAACACACTGTAAGCCTACTATCTGTTTAAGATAAGTAGATATAAAACACAGCCCCACTGAGAACAACTGCATGTTTCCAGTCCACGGCATGTCCGCTCTGGACTTGCAGCCCCTTTACCTGCAGTGGCAACGATCCTGGCTTCTATCTCAGACATGTCAGCACTCATCCGCTTGCCCTCCGAAGCTGGGGGCAGGCTCTCCACACTGCTCCCACGAGAGGCCCCCAGGCTCAGCCGTCCGGTTTCACTCTGTCAGAATTATAGGTCAAGCTCAATAACTGATGTCTTTACATGCATACATGCTGGACAGCTAAGGAGGAAGATGACAAATTGCTTTTCATGACTATGGGACTGTTCTGAAAGAAGGAACTTAATACTGAGAGGGAACTAACAAAGGGGAGCAGGCTCAGGCACATCTGCTCAACACAATTCTAGCTAACAATGGCCACATTGTTGCTGCATAGGATGGAAAGATAACCTTATGAGACCTCCTTAACTGGTCTATAGTTATAGAACCAAATATATTTCACTGTTCCTAGGACCCTTAGCTAGGGATGGATCACTTGGAAAAGGGAAGGGCTGGCAACAACAAATGACCAGGGGAAAGAAAACCAACATGTTTTATAAGAAATGGCGGCAAAATCTCATGTCTCTCACTATAAGCTCATTTGTCTGGTGCAAGAAGAAAACTCTGGATTGTTACATATCAGAATCTGGCAAATAATTGATTCACTTGGGATAATGTCATGACTACTAGTAAAGAAACCATGCAATTTTACTTTTAATAACAACAAACCTGTTGCTTTGCCTGATTTTTCAACAGTTTTGACTCTAAGCGTTTAATAGTATCATTTGTGGCAGGAACTTGTTCCATATTAGTGTCACTTTTATTACTGGTATTTGTAGAAGCAATGTCCATAAATGAGCCTAGAAAAGCAGAAACATTTATGACTACAGGTTGAGAATATATCAATGCTTCATTCAATAACTGATAATAAGTAACTGACATAAATAAAAATAAAAGAAGGGGCCAGAGAGATGGAGTAAGACTTCCACACCAATGAAGATACTCGCAATAAGCTCACTTTAAATAAAAGTTATAGCCAGCACAATAAAGAATCAACCAGTCCTTTACACAGTTGAGAATAACTAGGGTTTAACCCTGAAGGAGAACTGAGGGCCATTAGCTGAGGCAGGGAGGAGACAATGACTGAGTTTGAAGGATGTACCCAGAACTCAGTTTGGAAGGCACTGCTGAGTCCCCACTCGTATTAAGTTCTGGATATACAAGGGTAGAATTCAGGTAGAAGATGAAGACAAGTGCTCCTTCTCTTCTAGTCCCAGGCACTCCGGAGCCATGGGTAAAGAGATGGCCAAGTCCAGGAACCACAGCACATACAACCAATTGGGAAAATGGCACAGGAACAACATCAAGAAAGCCAGTTACAAAGATAATAGGCTCTAAGGGGTGGACCCCACATTCCTGAGGAACATGTGCTTTGCCAAGAAGCAGAACAAAAAGGCTGAAGAAGATGCAGGCAGATGACAGTGCAAAGGTGATAAGTGGATGTACAGAGATCTCTAAGGCACTTGTGAAGCCTAAGGTGGTTAAGCCCAACATGCTTTCATCACTCATCTCAAGCTTGGGAAGTGGACTCAAAGCTACATGGCCAAGGGTTGTAGGTTCTGCTAACCAAAGCCCCAAATCTGAACCAAGGCAGTGGCCTCAGCTCCAACTCAGGCTCAGGCTTCAGTTCCAGCTCAGGCTTCCAAAGGTGCCCAGTCCCCTGTGAAGGCCCTACAGAAGAAGTGGCTCAGGCCAGTGGGAAAACAGATGACTGATGTGGCACACCTACACACTATCTACAGATGGCCAGTGCCCAGTGCTGTTTTACAAATAAACTTGGGGCAAGATCTGTTGCGGAGGACAAAGTCCTAGTATTGGAAGAGATAGCCAAGGAAATGGAAATGAACGACTATACAAAGAAGCCAGTGGCTGAGTCCTTGGCATATATAACTGAGGAAATGCCAAAGCACCAGCAAAGAAAACCAAGAACAAGCTGGGGTAATCTCAGAGGCACAGTGTTTGTTTAGCTTGCACAAAGTCTCAGGTTCTGCTTGTTTTGAAAGACAGAAATGTAATTTCATAACTACTATAAAAATGCTAAATGACCACAAATATAATGTAAAGTTCAGATTAGTACTGGGTCCTAAACAACTGGAAAGAGTATGAGGAGAAACTGTCAACATAAAATTCTAGTCCTTTGCTTAATACAGCAGAAACTGGAGACCTCCATAAGAGTCACTCTGCAGCCATAGTTTGAGAGAAAGAAGGCTACGTGAAATCGATGCTACAGATGAGTAGAAGGCAGCCAGGGCTTCGGAATGCAGACAGTACTTTGCTCTTGATATGTTCCTAGTAGAAAGGTGACCTGGTAGGAGAGGAGAGACAAGTGTCTTCCTGCGGGGAAGGGGAAGTAAGATATGATATGCAAGCAGAGAATCTTGCCTTTGATTGGAGCATGGGCAGGCAGCTGTAAAACAAAGCAAAACGACAGAAAACAGAGAAGGAAGGCACAGATCTAAGTAGCTATGTGGACACAAGGAATCTGTAGAAGACACCTTCTGATGACTAAAACTGTCTTAGACAGCAAATAAGATTAGCCTACAGCATGGACTACAAAGACAGCTGAGCTTTGAGGAGAGCAAGGTATCTGGGAGAGAGGAGACAGATAGTTGCCCGAAGGCACTAAGCATTCATTCATCTGAGGCCAGTCACTGTGTGCTGTCCTCAGGAACATTCAAATGAGGGGTAAGCTCAGAGTTAACGAGGCCACACAAGTGGAAGAGAGAAATTCCACCACCAGGTATGATTCCTTCTGGATCATCACTGACCAGAATTAGGTGGAGGGACGAAGTTAAAAAGGGCCTCCGGAAATTGAGACTCCGTGAAAAGGTGGCAGCATCAAGGGCTGAAAGTCAGATGAAAAGGGAAAAACCCAAGGGAGTTCTGGAAAAGTTCACAGTAGAATTCAGGGCAACTCCAAGGTTTTTAGGAAAACAGAATTTGAGTATCATTAGCCAAACAAAAACCTAAAAACAAATAAACCATCTCAAAGCAGGGAAAGAGACTAATAAAAACATTTGTCAGAAGAAAGAGAAATGTTGAAGCGCAGAGTATATAGTACATATATATTTAAATGAACAAGCATATCTCTAGATAAAATTAAATAACAAAAAGCCATATATTTTGTGAAATGTAATTTCTCTAATTTAGAGTACTATTTCTACTATTGTTGATAACCTCAAACTACCACTTACTACTTTTACTTTATATTTCAAAAAACTGAACTTCTAATTAAATCATTTCTTTAGAAAAACAAACAAACAAAAAGGAGCACAAAGTCAGTGAGGAAAGCTAATGTTCACAACAATCTGCAGCACTTTCACATAAACAGTCGGGTGTAGTGGCATGTATCATTCCTTAGTCAGAGAACTCATGGGGTTTTTGAGGCAGGACCACGAATTTGAAACTAGACTGAGTGAGTTCTGGGCTAGCGTGGATACAAAGTAAGACCTTTATTAAAAACATGAAATTAAGCATCGATTTAAGAATACCATTCACAGCAACATAAAAATCAATCCTTTAGATCTAACTAAGCAGTAACTCCAGACATGGAAGCTTAGGCTCAGGACCTTCATAAAGAGTGAGGCACATGGAAGCCGAAACTGCAGTGAGGCCTGAGAAATGAGGACCCCAAATGCAAACACTGACATCACTCCTTTCTTCACGACAGACTTCATGTGGTAGAGGGATGTGGTTCTCACTCTATCCGTTTACCTGTGCTGGTGGCTGAGTTGCTCTGCCCTTCGTCAGAGTACTGACAAGGATACTGTAACGGCTCATCCGCTCCTGGAAAGTACTGTAGTAAAAGCAAGCCACAATTTAAAGTGCCTTTAGTACACAGTAAACACTGCTAAATGAACTCAAGAGCACGTCTGCTCACTGCGTTAGTTTAAGGTGCGGCTGAGGTAGACGTGGCTGTTTTTCCTCAGGAGCGCACTGAATATGGAGCGACATCTGTTTCTGATCATACAAAGATGGGATGGGCTCCTTTCGGGTAGTTCCCTGCGGACAGCGGCACGTGGCTCCCCGGGCACTGAGGTGACAGGGAAGAGCAGCTCTCTAGAGGAGCAGGTGGGGCAGCAGGGCCACTGCTCACAGTGCATGGACCGTGGAAGAGTGACACACATTGTCAAATGGCTGCAAGATTGTTTAGCCTGACAACTGGGAGTGAACACTTCTGAATCACCTTTAGAACTGGTATTTTAAACATTAAGAACATATCTTACAAAGCCCTCTTATAAACTGGGGCAGAATACTAAAATATTTACTGAACAATGAAAGTAAAAGTTAGGGGAAGATTTTGTTGAAATCAGACAAAACTTGGGTGAACAGTTTTAATTTGACTTATGCAGCCTAAAGTTTACATGTATAACTTAAGTCAAAGCTACCACTTAGGTCTCTTGTTGGAAAAAAATATCTATTTTAAATAAAAAGAAAAAAATCTAAAATATTTGAAATAATTCTAAAATGATTAGATTTGTAGAGTAGGGAATTTGATTAACTTTTCAAAAGGGCTTTTAAGATTCCATAATGCCTAGAAAAAAAGTTTAGTTTTTACTGGCATCTGAAAACATGCAACACAAAGTCAAAACAGTAAAAATGACCATTACTCAAATAAATGTCTCCTAAGTGTCCAGGACTCTGTACAAATGGCTCGATTTTGATGAAAATCTGATGAATGCAGTTTAGTTCAGCATGTTTTTAATCACATATATGTAGGCACTGCAAAGCTTTAGACACCTTATACCAGCATCTCTGCTACACTCTGGTGCCCAGGAACAAAATACTTGTTTATAAAGGTTAGTATAGAACAGTGAGCCAGAAACCTCTTCTAACCATTCTGCCATTACAGAGAGAGTTTTTTTTTTTAAGTAATGTTTTCTTTTCTGATTATACAAGTAATAAATGTCTAACTTGCAAAACATAAATTACAATGCATAAAATAGTTAGCATTCCTTCATTTTAAAAGCCCATTAGAACTTGGCACACATTAAAGCCCCCCCAAACCCAAAGCCCCTCAAAAGAAGGATTATACCCGCATCAAGTGAGTCATTATTTTCACAATTTCCTCCATTGAAGGGCGCTGAGAGGGGTCCTTAGACCAACAGCGGGTCATCAGGCTCTCAATGGGCTTAGGTAAATTTTTGATCAGTGGTGGTCGAGTACCTATATTTGAAAATTACAGAAATAAAAGAATTATCTATCGAAAGAGCAGTGTAAGAGTTTTATAGTTTATTTCCAACAATATCTGAATCAGCATTTTTTTTTTTTGCCTTTTAGTTTACCATTTGTTGTACCTATATGTCTATATTCACAAAGGGCAAACTATAATAAGCTATACATTTAATAGCACACAGTGCTAATACATTTATTTATGGCACATGGTAATAACAACAGTGAGAACTAAGACTATTTTCCTTGGGCTAGGTGCATGCCTTTAATACCAGCACTTGTGAGGCTGGTGGAACTCACAGCTTCTAATTCTGCCAGTGCTACACAGTGAGACTGTGACTCAAAACCCAAGCCAAACGGCCACAAACATTATTTCAACAAGTAGCAAAGGCTAAATGCGTTAACTAAAAAAATAAAACCAAGTAGCTGAGAAAAGATGAATTTCCAGACTACAAAAATTTCAAATGTGTTTGGAAAAAAAAAAAATCTTCCATTTATAGAAACTGGTCAAGCACAGTATCACACTCACTGACTTCCTTCAGCTGTGGTATCACACTCGCTGTTTTCCCTTAGCTATCCTGTCACACCTACTTCTCTCAACTATGGTGTCACACTCCCTCTCTTCCTCCCTCATGCTGTTGTGCTGACTTCCTTTAGCTATTATGCTATGCTCACCGACTTTCCTCTGCTGTGGTGTCACACTCCCTGCTTGCAGTTAGCCACTTTACAGACTGAAAATTAGGAAGTTTTTGTAATTTTTAAGCCTCCGATGGTATTCTTAATAGCCTCCCCTACTCAAGAGTGGCTTCAGGCACAATGAGATATTTGTAGTTTATTAATTCTTTTACTCTGTAATTCACTGATAACCATTTGCTGAAAACTGATAGAAGAAACATGCCATCTTGGTCAAGGCTCCTATATTTTCTACAATGACATTATGGGATATAACCTTAAACTTGGTAGAGGAACCAGAAACAGAGGTATGGAGGGGCACAAAGGTAACAAATGACATTTCAATGTCACAAATACACGAGCTCTGGGGAGGAGGACTGGAAAATTTTCCAAAGATGAAATATACAAAATATATTAAAGAAAGATTGCTTTTGACAAACCATTATGAACAGCCCACATGATTCGGAAAGCTGGGCCACCAATCTCATCAAAGGGTTTCCGGCGTGTTATCACTTCCCAAAGGATAATACCCCAGCTGAAGACATCACACTTTTCACTGTAATTGCTACCTACAAAAAAAGGCAGTGTAACCTTGAGACCTGTTCCATACAAATCACAGAGACAACTAGTTTTATAAATTCTAGAAGAAAGGGTATTTTGGACAAAAGATTGTCACACGCAGAGTTAAACAACTATTTTCCTAAATGTTTTCAACAAATATATTTTAATGAATTAAATATAAACAATATACTCAAAATCTACATACGAAAGCCAGCTATTTTCTACTCAACAAGACACACTGCCTTTCCTTTTTCAGAATGTAGACTGATCCCTTTTACAGGCATGGTTTGAACCAACTTTATGTTTCTTTCTGTAATTTTCCATTATTTTTAGAAGAAGGCTTATTTTACTTTTGCTCTTGACTATATGTATGTCTGTGCGCCATGTGTAAAATGCCCATGGAGGTCAGAAGAAATCATTGGGCACCTTGGGTCTGGAGTTAGAGGCTTTTGTGAGCCTCCATGTGGGTGCTGGGGATTGAACCTGGTCTCTGCAAGAGAAGCAAGTGCTCTTTACCTCTGAGCCACTGCTCCGGATCCTCAATTTCTTTTAAGAGTGCTCATTTGGAGATGGAACCCAGGAGCTTTTTCATATAAAGCATATGTCCTATAACTGAACTATATCCACAGCTCCTGTAATTTGTCACCTTAATACTTTTCTTGCTCTGTGACAGCATTCTTTGCTATCAGAATACAGCACTGCTATAATTTAGTGGCTTAAAATTCTTAATTTAAAAAATTCAAAAAAACTTAAGTGATTAAAATTATGAGTAACTAATGAAAACTAAGCATATTATGAACAAAATTATATTATGAAGATGAAAGATACATAATCATATATATATATATATACACACATACATATATATCTCCAAAACAACCACCAGCAACAAAAAATTCACACCTTAATTATAATGACAGGTTTCTATGCAAAGAATACACAATAATATAGAACTGCCACCACATAGCAATCTAATTTAGGCTACAGCGGCTACCTGATGATATCTTTCCGAAATTTAGAAATTTACATAACCTAAAAATCTGCATTTTGCTGCCCTCAAAAGAGAAACAACAATTACTTTTCATAACCCTTTTCTTCATTTACTACAATAATGCATCACTGTAATGCACTGAAAGTGACATTAAGTAAGTGTTTGAATTAATAGAAAAGACATCTGCATTATCCAAATGAAAGAGAAGGCATTATCTAATTTTATGTAATTAAGCATCTTTAGTCCAACACTTTGTTGTTCCCCCCACCCCTGTCTCTCTCTGTCTTATGAGACTGGGTCTCTCTACATAGCCCTGGCTATTCTAGAACTTACTATGTAGACCAGGCTGTCCTCAAACTCAAAGACATCTGCCTGCCTGTAGTACAACAACATTTCACAATTAGACTTCAGGGAACAACAGGCTGCATAGCATTCCCTCTTTCTCTGGGGTGGGTGGCTAAACACAAAGAACACAAAAGTTTAAAAAAATCAAGAAAAAACAAAAAAAGCAAAGCCCGATTCTTGAATGCATTTTGAGTATTATGGCACTCATACAAATGGAGATTCACACAAAGCCCATTTCTTTAGCTCAGTATTGCTCACTTGATGTTTTCATACAGAAACTTAAACATATGGACTGATCTTATGAATCTGGCATGAGCTAAGGAAATGTGAAAGAGGACAAACGAGAGCTTACCCTTTAATGATAGATCTCAGTGCCACATCTGGGCCCAGGGACTTGCGGCCTTTTTAAGGCATCCTGACTTAAATCTTCAGCATTCTTAGTTTTTAACTGATAGCAAATCAGAGCAAAGGCTCAGCTTTCTCCTTATTTGGGGCCTATACAGTCTAAGAAGTCTCCACAATCAGTGAACCACTGCTCGTAGGGAAATACAGGACTAGGTTACTAAGTCTTTGTTCACAAGAATGTCAATTCATCAACACCTGACCTTGTTTTGCGTGTGTTTTTAAAGACTCCACCTCACACTTTAACATCTGTCAAACTCACCGCACTCTAAAGCATGTCTGAGAGAACGTCCTCTAACATGTATTTTCACATATCTTACATATTCAAAGCCTTCTTGTACCTAGGCAACAATACTCCTTGGATCCTGTAAATAGCAAAACCACCATGACTGCCAGTAGAAAAAGGAAAAGCACGGCTCTGAATAAACTGCAAAGGGCCACTTGTTCACCTTTCTAGAGAAACAACCTTGGAGAGCGCTATATACGACTCAAAATGTGTAGTCATCCTTGAGTACCTTATTGCTGAGCACTTGTGAAAGCACCTCAACTACAGTTCAGCAAGTAGAGGATTTCTCAAGTATGCAACTGTGAACAATGAGGACTGCTGGCTGTACATATGTGTGAATCTGAATTCTGCCTTAGGCCATACTCACTTAAGACCCTTTTATGTACTATTCAGAAGCGTTACAAATGCATCCTGGATTTACACGAATTAAGGCCAATTCCCAGCCATGTCATGCTTTTGTGACTGTACCTTCAAATACTTCGGGTGCCATCCAAGCAGCACTCCCTTTATTATTGGTCATGTGTGTCTGGATATCACAAGCTGTACCAAAATCGCAGATTTTTAGAACTGTCCCTCCTGCAACCAGCAGCAGGCTATTATAAAAAATTCAAAATTTACAAAGTTAGTAGTTGACTTCATAGGAAGAGATAATTATAAAACTGGAAAAAGGTAAGTTAAACAAATGCTATTATTCAACTTCTGTAAAACATTACTTGGGTCACTGTAATGGCCTAATGGAGGAATATCAGCAAGAATCAGATGGACTTAACACAGAGAACATGGGGAGACCATTATATTCATATTTTGATGTCTCCATCTCTAGATCCATGACAGTTCCTAACCAAACATCCCTTTGGCTGAGACAGACATGGTTTTCTTTTTCTTCTCTTTCTCTGTCTGTCTCTTTCATGCTCTTTTTCTTTGGTTTATCAAGACAGTTTCTCTGTGTAGCCTTGGCTGTCCTAGACTCACTTTGTAGACCAGGTTGGCCTCAAACTCACAGTGATCCACATGCCTCTCCCTCCCTTGAATGCTGGGATTAAAGACATGCACCACCACGCCCAGCTTAGAAATGGTTTTAAGCTTTCTGAGATGCAGCTCTATGGTGTCCTAAAGTGGGAATTTAATCACAAACAATTATTACTAAAAGAACAGCAACATTCAATAGAACAAATAATCTAACTGAAGATAAAGTAAAATACATCAACACAAAAGGAAACCAATAGAACTGGTTTATTGCAGTACAGGAAATTGAACCAGGGTCTTGTACAGACAAATGCCCTATAAGTGAGCTATATCCACAGACCAGTAGTTCTTATTTTATGTCTTTATTTTGAAGACATTTCTCAATGTTTAATCTCAAAACTGTTCCTGAATTTAGGATGTCTGTACGTGTGGGGAGGAGTATGAACTCCTAAAATTAAGACAGTCTAATAAATGCTGGGAATGTTCTAGAACTTCAGCTTTCTAGGTGCTATGGCTCAAATACAATTAATCACTAAACAGTATCCTTTTACGTACAGAGCTTTACTTTTGACAATAAACAGAGATGGCTCAAATACAATTAATTACAAACAGCATCCTTTTACTTACAGAGCCTTACTTTTAACAAAAACAGAGATGGGTCATAAAATGTGAATACTCACACTGTAGTAACATTCAAAATAAATGAATGAAAACACATTGTAATTATACATCTTATTAACTTTTGTATGTAATGTTCTCCTTAAACTTTAACTAGACATCTAGGAAATTCTCTTTTAATTCAATGTAATTACAACAAGCAGATAAGCCCTTATTCACTATCGTACACTACCAACCACTTTTGTCATATTCTCCTCTTGTATGTATGCAATTCAACAGAAACTGTTTAAAGGTTCTTTTGAAGTGTCAGGATTCTTACTTCCTATGGAGAAATCTGGGCTGCCCAGGTCTGTACTCAGATTCAGAAATGCTTTTTCCCCCTAAGAACAAGAACACCACTGACACAGTTCTGCACAGTGTCTACCCTGTGTAGACCCTGTTCCTGTTAGGAATATAGCAGAGACAGTAATCAGACTTGTCTCTGCTCTCAGGAAACCATGCAGGGACTGTTTTAAACACTACAGGAACAAAATGGGACTTATAGACTAACAGACTCTAATTACTATCATGTAAATTTGGAGTTAGTAAAAACATCTCCCACAGACACATTCTAAAATTAAATTTAGAAATACAGCTAGATGAGAAAAGTAAGTAAAAACATAACAATGTAAGTAAAGAGGGAAGAGAAAAGAGAAAGCCAAGGGCAACAACTGCCTTGAATGATGGGCGGTAAGAGCAGGAGAGAAGCCCGTGTAATGGCGCCACCACTTACTTTGGAGGCTTGAGGTCCCTGTGAATTAGGGCTTTGGGCTGCATGCTGTGCAGGTAAGCCACTCCCTGGGAACACTGTAGACACCAGCTCATGGCGTGGGCAGCAGTGTAATAAGGCAATGGCTCAGCACCATGCAGCACTGCAAGGGAAAGGCACAACCAACTAATAAGAAACTTACTGCAGATAATGCGAAATAATATAAACGCAAGCACCATCAAAACACATAGATGAGTATTCTTTTACAAATACTGAAGTCCTACTTTTAAACCTTTTCTGGATTAAAAAGAAAAAAGATAGCTCCCCATATGGTTCAAATAAAATTAATAATACTATCATACTTTTAAAAATTACTAATATCTTTCACATGACATAAATTATAAGCAACCCTGTTCATTATGAGGGTGGAATAGAGAAACAGTAAAACAGATGGCCATATCAGATGTTTACAACTGTATTTTCTATTGTAGCTAAAAAACTAGCAGTTCTCTGAAATAAAATGAGAGCACTATACACAAACTAACAAAGAAGTATACATAGCAGTGAGTATAACTAAATGTGTACATAAAATAATAAGGTACAAGTAGAGGCCATCTATTTTATAAAGCTTACAGGGACAACTCACATATACATGAGGTTGGTATTTTTAAGGTGAGAGCTTCGTTCCACAAAGGTAACGGCAGCACAAAAGATTTTTTTTTCATGATAACTGCTGTGGTTTGAATGAGAATGGCACATACAGACCTATATGTGTGAAAATCTGGCTCCCATATGATGGAACTCTTTGGAAAGGATTGGCAAGAGTGGCCTTGCTCGAGAAAGAATGCCAATGGGGGCAGGCTTTGTAATTTCCAGACTCAGCCATGCCCAGGGTGCTCTCTGCTTCTGCTTCTGGATAAAGATGGAAGCTGTCAACTGCCCCAGCCAGCTAACGTGCTTGCGGCCACAAGCGCCGCCTTTGAGACAGTGACAGTGACAGCCCAATGCAACACTTTCCTAAACATGCTGCCTTGGCCACGGTCACAGCAGGAAAGTGACTGAAACGGTACAAACTTCCAATGAGTAAGGTTTAAGCTGTTTTATGTTTTAAAAAGGAAACAATACGTTCTAAAATGAAGGGTTAAAACTGAAACACAGGGAAAACCTATTTAAAAAGCAACTGTTACTTCATAAAGTTTGAACATAATGAAAAGTATTATTAATTCAAAAAGTGTACGTAATTGTCATAGCTTTCTTGCCAGAAGTCCTTAGCAATGAAAAACCAAACCAAACCAACCAACCAAGAAATAAAATAACCTCCTCTGTGAACTCTGACAGTAAATTGTGAATAATAACAGGTAATTTAGTTTTTATTAAAAGCTTTCTAGGGGGCTGGAGAGATGGCTCAGAGGTTAAGAGTACCAGCTTTTCCAGAGGTCTTGAGTTCAATTCCCAGCAACCACATGGTGGCTCATAACCATCTAGAATGAGATCTGTATACATAGTAAATAAATAAATCTTTACAAAACAAAAAGCTCTCTAACTGCTTCAATCTACTAGCTAAAAGCAGGTTTAGCTGATACTCACCATTGTACAAGGAGCCCCCCTCAGCATACTCCATCACAAGACATACCTGAAGGAAATATATGGCGGAATTAACTGGAATGACAACATTGTTGGGCCCTCCCTGCAGACAACTTAGTTTAATTGTCTGATTGCCCTAAAAATTATTCTTTTGGCTACTACCATGTGACTGACAATGATAGAAGGGACAGATATCTATGATCTAAAATCTTTTCCTTTAGGTGCCTGTCTGTGATCCATACTAAAATAGATCACTCTACTTTGAGGACCAAACCATACTTACAAAACCTTTTGCGAACCAGTGCTAATAAAGATATGCTGTAGGCCATCAAGTCTTATAACAATAACAAGTGAGTTACTGGGCAATGTATGTTGGTGAGGAGGGCAGACAGACAGGGCATGCACTATGTCATGAGGCTTTTATTCAGATGGGATCCAGTATAAGAAGCAGAACCCACTACTTGCTTACATACTAGGATAGTTCCAGGGCAGAAAAGAGGAAGGGGAAAGGAGTGACGTTTCCTTTTGTTGGCCTCTCATTGGCCACTACCAGGTTAGCTAAGTTAGTAAGATGAGTGGTAACATAAGGAATGTCAGGTGATCTCTGTAGGCCAGGAATTACTAGGGTCCATATGTAAGAAAGCTAAAAGCTTAGAAGAACAACTTACTTTATTTCTGGAAATTACATTAGTTTTGAGAATTGTCACTAACTTAAGATGAAGGAGCTTTATAAAATGGTGTGGCCGTGGCAAACAGGTGCCTGAGAAAACCCCACCAACATACTGTTTTGTTAGGGCTGGAAGCAAACAAAATGCAGGAAGTGTAACTACTGTAAAGCTACAATTGAGCAGATCAAAACAACTTCATAAATTATAGAAAACGCATACACTTGCCACATTGTTTCCAAGAGGCAGATGGACACTTACTGGATTCAAGCAGGCTCCATACAATTTTACAATATTAGGATGGTTCACACGCGACAACTGCCGGAGCTGTAACAAATTATGGATGTTTAAAAAGTGCTGGTTCTTGAGGTACTTCTTCCGTCTCACTGTCCTATAGAACACGTGTTTAAATTGCTCAGTAACTTCTGCTTACCAGGTAGCAAGCACTATGGTCACAGGCACTGAAAATCCCTGCTGGGACACCTGTCCTACAGTTCAAGTGGGAACACAGACATAATTAAATATGTGAAGACAGAAATCACTAAACAATGCATAAAGTGCTATAATGGGAGTTAAGAAAAGCCAGGATAAAAAGAAGAAACTAGACGCCAAAAGTCAGGGCATCATTCCAGTTATGGCACTGACTGAGTTACCCACACCAGAAGCTGTGTTACTTTCAACAGAGCTATGGGTGATCAATTTCCCTATTCTGTATGTGCTCCTGGATTTCTTTAGACTCTGAAAGATAGGTAACCATTACTTCCATTTTAAGTATGCGGCCTTGAAGTTAAGCTCCAGAGAGGATTTCATGGTCAGGATTTGACATGGATAGTTGCCTCTAATTCCATTTCCTTTCTTTCAGTTACTGCAGAGATTGAGGGCAAGGAGGGTTATCTTCCTATTATGGGACATTTGACTAGCATGCCCTCGCTCCAACCGACAGTAAAATCCAAGTCAATCTCTAGGGCAGAAGGAACTGGGGAAGAACACGGGGGGGTGGGGGGTGGGGGGAAGAGGGGGAGACTGATACTCCAAATTCTGGTTTTACTCTTCTCTGGGCCAGTAATTCCACTGAGGCTGTAGTCTTGTCCCCTGTTCTACATTTCAAATTTCTGCAATGTATCTTTCTCAAAAAACAGCATCTTGCTCTTTCTCCCTTGTCTTCTTCTCTGACTTTCCCCAACTCTTTCTCAATTTCTACAGTTACATGGTACTGGTTCATGGAAAGCTCACTAAGGTCTCTTAACTTTCTCATCATATGCCAGTGGACAGTTTCTTTACAGTCAATATTCAGGGATTTTCCATCCTCATAGACAATTAGCTAATTCTTTTTTAGATTATTTCCCATAACTCTTTATTATTACATATTTATTGTACATAAATGTTTCATCTTGGTAAAACTTAGCATTGTACTTCATAGCATATTATTCAAACATTTATTCTTGTTTTCTTTGAGTCTTATTAAGTAGGTGAAATTTTTTAAATTGTTGTTTACAACGGGTAAACTGAGAAGGATGACGAGTACCTGAAATGAGACAATAGTATATGATTTTGGAAGTTGACAAGCTAGGGACTAGTAATAACCGACCCAGCAGACTGAGAGTCAAATCATAAAACAAGAGAAGCAACAAGATTTCCTTCACAAAATCCCTATAGAAGAAACTCAAAGTAATAAAACATGTTATAAAGGGTTTTTAACTAACAGATTTGCTTAGGAGACAAAAATCACATAGTAGAATTTAGGTAAGGGATCACTGCCTACAAATTACCCCAAAGAGAAGAAATAACCAGCCTGTTAGACATAAACAAAATTTCCAATGCTGGATGCAAATCTTTGTTCACCAGGATTCACCAGCCATTAGGCCTGTGCCCAAAGAACATGCCTCTAACAGGCAGCTCAAGAACACACCAATGTTAAGTTCTGGGCTATCATAAAGCCCTCCATGCTCTTCTTGAGAAAAACATAATTCTCCAGATAGGCAAGAAGACCGAAGATAACAATTATTAAAAAGAAAAACACTGGTATACTTAAAATAATTCTGGTGCTGTGTGGTCAGGGTTACACTCTCCTATCTCTGTTTAAATTGTTCAAAGTGTAACCTGGGGCCAGCACCTAGAAGGGATTTAAGGATGAGAGCATGTGTGAAATGTATAAGCCTACAGTATATATGTTAGTAAAATCTTTGATTTGAGGCTGGCTCCTCTTTGGTTGTTAGCCACAGCTGGTCATGCTTTTTCAGTAAAAAGCTTTTCCTTTATTTATCTCTAAGTGTGTGGAGCAGCTTTTCATTAGAAAGGTGTATTATTTCTAAAACATTGTAAGAGATTCTTAACTTTGGGTAACAGAAGGGAATACCATTTCAAAATTAAAATATAATACTTTGAAGTAGATTTGAAGTCTATGAATTACTGCGTTTTAATTCATGGATGGATTCATATATTTTTTTTCTCTAATAATTTTTAAACAGAATTTAAACCAAAAAATTAAAAACATTCCTATGAAGGCACTACCTTTAGTTCAATCAAATTGCTAAGGTTCATGCACAAAGAAAAATGAAAATTAAGAGACAATGTCTTTTATAACCATAAGATCAGAGCATCTCTAGTGAAGAATTACTGGACAGAAATGACATCTTACCTCCACAATGAAAGCCTTCCTCTCAGATTCACTTTCTATTTGTTTAATAGCAACATCCTTTGCTCTCCACTTAGCCTTGCAAACCACTCCAAAAGCTCCTCTTCCAACAACCTGAGTTAACACACACACATAAAAACCCAAATTAGAAGCAGAGCCAGTTCAGTATGACATAGGCAGTTTTAAGTCACATCAAAGGTTTAGAAACCACCATTACCTGAATTTGCTAAGAAGAAATTTTTCATTAAACAGGATGAAATGCAGTTTTAATCTTTGAAATAAACCTCTTCTTTTTAAGAGCAAAACCAAAAAAGAGATACTAGAAGACACAAAGCAATTTTAATCACAGTGGAAAACTAAAGGCAAGATATATTGAGAAATCGTTCAGAAAAAAGAAAGATAAAAATGAACATATAATATTTTAAGAAATTAAAAGGAGCTTTCAAATAACCAAGTAAGGGTAGGGAATGGAGAGAGAAAGGCTAAAAATACATATGGTAAAACACTCACTACAAAAGAAACACAAAATGTTACTGTCTGTACAATGAAATATTGTTAGGCAAAACAAAACAAACCAACCAAAAAACCCAAATACAGATATATGCAAGAACATAGATGAATCTCAAAAAATATTATGCTAAGTAATTAAACAAACAAACCTTGACCACATATTACAAGGCTCACTTGTAAAATGTCTAGGGGAAAATCTAAAGACAGTAGGCACAGCAGATCAGTGGTTGAAAACTGGAATTGATGTAAATGGGTGTTGGGCATCTTGCCAAGGTTTGAAAGTTGACTCTGATGGCTGACAGCTGGATAAATTTGCAAAAACCATTAAATCACACTCCACATGGGTGAGTTTTATGATAGGTAGTAGCTTATTTCTAAATGCTAATAAAAATATGGATCAACTGTATGATATATTGCTATAACTAATGGCTATCATATGGATACACTACTCTGTCAAGCTTCTCTATTTCTAAAAATATTTGGAAAAAATCTAAGTATTTTAAAAAAAACATTAGAAAACAAATATGAAAATCAGCTTGGTATCTGTTCGATCAAAACTATTAGACTGTTAACTGTGAAGGGCATTAGTTAAGCACCGCCACCTGCAACTTCCCATGTATGCAACGTCCATGTATGCAAAGATGCTGTGGCAAATCCCTTTCCGTAAGCGCACATTACAATTTTATATACTTTCTACTAGTGGGCACTAAGACCGTGCTTTGCCCACATGGCTCTTTACACAGCCTCAAGAAAGGTGCTAATGTTCTCCTTATGCTGTACACAAAGCACATTTCTCAAGTCTACACAGGTAACAAACAGTGGAGTACAGTTACTGGCAGGCAGCCCCACAAGAGAATGTCCGTGGTTCCAACAGGTAACATATGACACCCTTAATACGCCAAAAATCAGTTATGTGGTCCCTCAGTGATCACTTCACTTGAGAAGTGAATTTATATAAAACTCAACAACAAAGTTGACTGTAGCTAGCGATCAAATCAACACTGGATGACTTCATAGAGGAAAAAAGGGGCACTTTTTTTACACTAGGGCAGTAGCTCTAACCTGGAATATACGGACAATCTAGCCATGCCTCCAGTTATATTTCAAATGTCATATTAAGCAGTATGAATATTCACATTCAATGTTCACCATAAGATGGGTGCGGTTTGGAGTGTTTTTCATGGATTGGCATTTTTAATCCTCTTCTATTTTAAAGGTAAGCAGCCATAGGGTTGCAACTTACCCACAATACACAGTAAGAAAATATTTAGGAGGCATGATCTGAAACCTACAGCTTATAATTATAAACATATGCTATGGGCTATATTCAGCTTAAAGGTAGCTAGACTGCTTCTAGGCAAAGTCCCAAGGAAACCAGGCTCTTTTGGATACATTTTCTGGTTTCTAGCCCTGGGCACTCGGAACCCACTGTCTTGCTCTCAATAAGAACAAGAAACCAACACTGATGATTCATACTCCCATGCAGTTACTTTAACAAGACTGGGGAACTGGCTTGAATTTGAATGTGTCTGCTACATACTCACTCTTATTGCTAGGTAACCTGCTCACTCTGACGGCTAGGTAAATTTAACATCTGAGCTTTTTTTCTCTGCATTAAAAAAGCAGAGATGCTTCTATTTTTCTTAGTGAGCCACAGAGTTCCTAAGTTATTTTACTTAGTAAGTAACTGTTGTTCAGAGTCTAGGCCTTGTCCACTACTTTCCAGGGAAGCTCAGGGACGGGAGTGCACATTTCTCCTCCAGAAGGTCGTTTTCTGGGCTGAGAAGGGTGAAGCATGGGGGTCAAAGGCTCTCAGAGCTTTGAAACCTGAGCCAGGGAGCAATAAAGGGCGGGCTGGAGTTGGTGGCTGCAGTGATCCAGTTGACACACAAGTGAATGGCTGCAGCTTGGGAGTTCCAAAGCCGACAGTGACACTGCATTGTTGCAGCCCTTCAGCTACTACCTTGCTAATGGCAGAGGGTACTGTGGGCAAATGCCCATGCCAGGTCCGTTCACAGCTAGAATGCAAGTCTGAGGGTGCTCTGTGGCGGCCAGCGGCCCATGGTGGTAGAGCGGGTTTCAGTGGCCACCCACCAAGGCACCTATGGCCGGGGTTCCAAGGGTGAATCTCTTTAGGGAGGAAGGGAGCCTTAGATGGAGAAACAGATGGTGGTGGCATCCTTTATTTCATGTAAAAAGGGGACGTATAAACCTTGGGCAGTGGGAGGGGTTTTTGGGATGATTCCCAGTGTTTGATTCACTGGGAATAGGGGTGTCAGGGATCTTCATTTCCATGCAGCAGTGCAGTCCTATCAGAAGAAGGGAACACAGGACTTAATTATCCTATGGACAGTGGAGTGGGGAAAAAACTCCAGGTACAGTCAGAGGTTGGAAAAGGTCATTGGCTGAAGCTAAGGTACCAAGGCATCTCATTAGCACAGAGAGGGTAATCCAGGAATCCTCAGGTACACAATGAACATGTTTCTTCAGGAAAAGATTGGGCCTGTAATCTTCCTGAGGGCTATGTAAAACTCCTTAGAGGATCTGAGGTTCCCCAGGTCAGGTGGAGAGGAGGGAACCCAGCTGAGGAAGGGAGTTCATCATTTTAGCACCACGCTCAGGGGCTCTCTGGTAATGCCAGACTTCAACCTTAACAGCAGGGTCTAACAAGTATCTATAGAGTTAAGTTTATCTATAGGGGTCATAGAATAATGCACTTTCATGAACATTATAAAACACTAAATGCTCAGAGTTGGTTATGAATTAGTGTAAGGAGCTGAAGAAACTAATTTTTCTCTCAGGATATCAGCAGCAAACAGGTCCTACAAGGTTTCAAGTTCATGGTCATAATAAACTAAGATGACACATCCAGATCAGTCTACCTATTGATAATATTATTACTAACTATGAATGAATGATTATAAAGCAATACATCACAATCATATACCTACAGATTAATCAAAATGACTGGTACTTAGTGTTAAAAAAAAACAACAACAACTCAGATCCCCAATGTTATCTGTATTTGTGGATTATGTACATGCATAATTGTCTGGAGCATGCATGACTATCTGTTAGCCACAAGTGCTACCTAGTGATAAAATGACTGATTCTGAGCTTTCAAGTTAAAACCATGGCAACAAAATGTGAGCAAATGAATACATGATAAACTCTCTTTTGCTTTGAGAAATAAATTTTACAAAATAATCTGAAATAAAAGATCAATTTGGCACTTTCTCAGAAAATTAGGAACAGTGCTACCTAGAGATCCAGCTATACCACTCCTAGGCATATATCCAAAAGATGCTCAAGTATACAACAAGGACATTTGCTCAACCATGTTTGTACAGCTTTATTTGTAATAGCCAGAAGCTGGAAATAACCCAGATGTCTCTCAGTTGAGGAATGGATACAGAAATTGTGGTACATTTATACAATGCAATACTACTCAGCAATTAAAAACAAGGAAATCATGAAATTTGCAGGCAAATGGTGGGATCTAGAAAAGATCATCCTGAGTGAGGTATCCCAGAAGCAGAAAGACACACATGGTATATACTCACTTATAAGTGGATAATAGACATATAAGATAATAATACTAAAATCTGTACACCTAAGGAAGCAAATCAAGAAGGAGGACTCTGGGTATGATGCTCAATCTTCATTCAGAAATCATCCAGAAAGGCAAATAGATTGGACATTAGAAGAGGGAGAAAACAGGGAACAGGACAGGAGTCTATGAGACTATCTTTCAGAGGGCCTCTGAAAGACTCTACCCAGCAGGGTATAAAAACATATGCTGAGACTCATAGCCAAATTTTGGGCAGAGTGCAGGGAATCTTATGAAAGAAGGAGGAGACAGAAAGACCTGGAGGGGACAGGAGCTACACAAGGAGAACAACAAAATAAAAAAATCTGACACAGGGATCTTTTCTGAGATTGATACTCCAAACAAGGACCATGCATTGAGATAACCTAGAACCCCTGCACAAATGTAGCCCATGGCAGTTCAGTGTCCAAGAGGGTTGCCCAGTAATAGGAACTGGGACTATCTCTGACATGAACTCAGGGGCTGGCTCTTTGATCACCTCCATCTGAGGAGGGAGCATGGTCTTACCAGTCCACAGAGGAAGACCATGAAGCTAGTCCTGATGAGACCTGATAGACTAGGGTCAGATGGAAGGGGAGGAGGACCTCCCCTATCATTAGACTTGGGGAAGGGCATAGTAGAAGGGGGAGGGAGGGTGGGATTGGGAAGGAACAAGGGAGGGAGATACAGCTGGAATACAAAGTGAAATAAACTGTAATTAATAAATATAAAATAAAAATAAAAAAAAACATTGAAAAAGTAACCCAAACCGACAAGAACAGAATGGTTAAATAAATAAGCCTGACATATATATATTAAAAAAAAAAAACAGCAATAAAAAAACAAGCGATTGCATTCATATCTGAAAACCCATGGCTTCAAGAAATCTCCATTTTCATTTGAGTTATAAATTACCTCATAAACACAGTGAAGTAATAGGTTATAAATGATAACACAAAAAGGGAAGTTGTCAAAGTTGTGCACATTTACTGAAATATCTGATAGAAATAACTCA